ACAGATCGAGTGTCTGCGTTTCTGTGTCTCGGGGCGGGGCCAGAGAGACTTGAGAACGCCATAAGAAAGTCAGGTGTGCATTTGATGAGTGACAAGAGATAGGAGATTTAGGAGCTATGAAAATTAAGGGAATTTGTCCTCTGTGTTTAACCCATTGGTCAGTGCTGCTGGGAAGAAGAAGCAGTGGGGACCCTTCTCCAGATCCTGAGCCTGAATTTTGGTCAAAAGAAGATAGAACAAAATTGGAGTGGAATCACTGAGTGACCTAACAGAGGAAAAAGATGGAGGAGCTATGAAAAATTGGAAGGTTTGTTTGCATTTGACCCATCCTTCAATGTGACTGAGATGAAGAAGCAGTGGGGACCCTTCTCCAGATTTTGAGCCCGGATTTTGTTCAAAAGATTGAAGATACAAAAATATGAAGTGAAATCACTGGCTGACCTCACAGAGGAAAAAGATGCAGGAAATTTGACCTGTGCATTTTGACCCATCCTTCAACTCTACTGGGATCAAGGCGCAGTGGGGACCCTTCGCCAGATCTTGTGGTAAAAAAAAAAATGAACACATTAAAAACTGCAGTGGTACAATTGACTGACTTGAGGTAGGAGAAAAAGTAGGGGTTATGAAAAGTAAGTAAGTTTTTATTTTATTTATATAGCACTTTTCACAGACATGTGTCACAAAGACGCTTTACAGAGCATTATCCAGTTACTTCAGACCTGGTAGTGGTAAACTACTATTGTAGCCAGAGCTGCCCTGGGGCAGACTGACAGAAGTGCGGCTGCCATGCCATTTGGCGCCATCGGCTTCTCTGACCACCACCATCACTCACGCACACACACCACTTTCATACTAGGTAATGTGGGTGAGTGTCTTGCCTACGGACAAAACAACAGTTTTTGTGATTGGCGCCCCATCCAGGTACCAACCAGGCCCGGACCTGCTTAGCTTCTGAGATCTGACGGGATCAGGATTTGACAAGCCGGTATGGCCAAAGTGAAGAAATTCATCCTCTGCATTTGACCCATTCTTCAAAGCTGTTGGGTAAAACCTGTCTCAAGCTGTGAGGACTTCACTCTGTGCATCAACAAACTGGATAATGTGAGAATGGACAAAAAAGTCTAAAAGTAGGACAATGTATACCCTGCATTTGACCCATATTTATTTCTCCCAATTTTCACCTAGGATCTTTGTCAGGAGTACCTAGCTGGTGGACTTTTTTTTTTTTTTTTTACATATTTTAGTCATATGCATTTATGTGCTGTAATGGATGCGTGGAGCTATGAAAAGTACAAGAAATTTGGCCTCTCCATTTGACCTGGAGAGCAACACCTAGGAACCCTTCTCCAGATCTGGACCTGTTTTAAGAAAATAAGACAATAAGAGAAAGTTGTATTGGCTCACTTCATCTTGGACAAGGATGCCACAGTTATGAAAAATTCAATACATAGACAAGAATGGAGCAGAAGAACTGGAAGATGGAGCTTGACTGAGAGGAACTGTAACTATGCAGATATTTTCAGACCAAATATTGCAAGCACCAAGACATCAGCACTGTATAATTTTCAAGGAAAGCCTTCACAAGTCCTATCAAAATCCAGAAAACATATCAGTGTATCTAAACTAGGGCTTTCAAGAGTTCCTTTACCACCAATTAACAGGTCAAGAAGTTTGTCTAGCAATGCTGTGGAAAGCCTTCCAGCTAAATCACTTTTCAAAACGGATATGAATATTTTGAAAGAACATAACACCAATTCAGTCATGATAGAAAAAGCGCCACTAAATGCCTCTTATAGAAAAACTTGTCGAAATTCAAATAAGAAAATCAGTGTTTGCCACGAAGTAGAAAACAAAGCAGAAATCCAGTATCCAATGAATCATGGAGAACAGATTAAACGACCATTTGATACCCAGTCGCCCGTGACGCTAACACTAAAGCCTTTAGCGCGACAAAGGAAAGATGACGCGAATCAGGCGGGTGCCAATGCCAACGGGACTGCAATGCCAGACAGGGTTACACACGATGCCAGTCTTCACCAAGCGAAGCAACAAAGAGATTTCTGCTCCAGCGAGTCGGCCATTGAAACAGAATCTGAAGACAAAAGTTGGTTGGACAGCAGGCTGAGGGAGGACAGTGATGAGTATTACACAGAGGAGAGGATCGCAGAATGGGTCCTCACCGTCAATTCCAGTCTTTTCAGAACAGGAAATGATGAAGAGGAGAGGCAGAAAGAAGAAGAGCAAGACATAACAACAATTAAAATAGTTTATAATGGAGACTGAAGTTTAGAAATACAGTATTAGAAAAGGAAAGGGGAAAAAAAGGACTTTGAAATAACTGCACTATGCAATTTTTTGGTTAGATGGTCCGCCACCTGCTTGTCACCATCACACGTTCCATACCACATTATGGCATTTAACCTGTCTATCTCCATGGAGACAAGAAAGTGACACCACCAGGCTTAGTTACCTGTGCAGATCTGTGGAGAGGCAATCCTGTTCACTGTAAGAATGCATGGTTTTGTTGTTGTGACATTAACAGCACTTGTTACTTAAAGGTGCACTGCACAACATTTCTGCGCACCTGCTTGTCTCCTTGGAGATGTTATTGCTTTTTCTAAAATGTTCCATAGTATGACATTGAACATATCAATTTAACATTTTCTAGCAGTGTTTCTATTGCTCAAAAAATACAATAATTCCTTCTGCGAATAGGGGTGACACTCCACAGATCTGAACTGTAATGTAGCGTAGTGCTGTAACCTGCTCGTCTCCCTAGTGCTGGATAGTGTGGAACATTCTAGAAATAATATTTCTATGGAGATAAGCAGGTGGCGGGCCTTCCACTAGAAGTGTTACGCAGTGCACCTTTAATAACAAGACAGATAGGTTTAATGCCATACTGTGGAACATAAAGGAGGTAATATCTCTATATATCTACATGACATTTTATCTAGTTACACAGTGCACCTTCAAATACATTTTAAGTAAATTAGAATAATGCCTCACACTTGGTATTTTGTTGGCTCTTTTTATTTAACACTGGATATATTTTTCACATTTCTGGTTAGACATGGATCACATGGTAAATGATCACATGCTCTTAAAAACAGCACTTGTTCTTAATAGAGCTTCAACGACTGAAATTGCTATCAGTTATCAGTGCTTTATCTGTCACATGCAGTGTTGGGAAGTAACTGAATACATGTACCGAGAATACCTATTCTACTAATTTTGAGTAACTGTATTCCAGTACAGTTACTCTTTAATGTGGTGGTTTTCAGAGTACAGCTACTTTACCAAAATCAAATTAATATATGTTTTGTGCTTGATCACACATTTTACGCTTCAAAATGTTTGATATTAGAAAGGAAAAGAGAAAACACAGGTCTTGTGATGAGTGCATGTGCAATTTTTTCATCTCCAATTAGTGATAAATAAATGCAGAACAAAAGGTCAAACAAACATAAAGCTGTTTTTAATATGTTGTGTTTTTACACTATAATTTAAATGCAAAAACTATTCAGAATTCGGTACTCTGATGGGACCATGTATCAGAATACTTTATAAAATACATTTTAATGCAGGTATTCAGTATTCTGTAACTAAATACATTTTCAAGTACTCTTCCCCATCTCGAGTCACATGTCTATGTGGTTTTCCAGTAATTTCACAGAGCATGGGACTTGATTTATCACATGACCTAAAATAATGTCAATAATGACTTTTAACTGACCTGCCCCTCATAAAGGATGTTAATGTTTGATGGAAGCCACTTTGAAAACAATAGAAAGGCTGTGTCATCCATTGTAATGTAGATGTTTTACACCTGAGCCCAATATAATAGGGTAGTTGTAATAGCACGTTTATATATATGGATAAAACAAAAGTCTAAACATAATATAACTAAATGGTAAAAAGAAATGTACTTTATCAAAGCTATTCAGTATTTTTCTCTATAGATTTGTTTACTGCAACTTCATGTATGGATGTTGTATTGCTGCTATAGGTAGCCTTTTTGTGTGCAATGTCAGTGTAAGCAGGTTGGCGTACGCATGAGACATTACTTTTTTGTTTCTGGCTACATTTTGAGATATTCTGTTGTATTTTATTGAAATAACATAAGTATAACTTAAATGTGCAGTGTGTAACATTTCTAGCATAACCTGCTTGTCTCTATGAAAAAGTTATTGCTTTGTCTAGAATGCTCCACAGTATAGAATCTATCACAAGGGAGACATCAGGTTACAGAACTACATTACATTACAATTCAGATCTGTGGAGAGTCACCCCTATTCACAGAAGGAATTAATGCATTTTTGAACAATAGAAACACTCATAATGAATAAATTGTATATATGTATATGTTTAATGTCATACTATGGAACATTCCAGACAAAGCATTAACAAGGAGACAAGAAGGTAGTGGAAAAGTTGTGCAGTGCACCTTTAAGTAACTATCTAGTGTGTTATTATATACATGTATTATATAAATCAATATAAATTTTCCAGGCAGTTTACTAAAGGGGAGAAAATACTATGCAAAGTCACTATAGATCTGTTGGAAAGGCTCCAAACACTTAAATAAAATAAATAAATGACCAAATACCAGTTTATGTCTCTATCTTTTATAAGGTGTTTTTTTTTTTTAACACTTCACCAAATAATACCAGGCAAACAATTTTATGCCCAGAAGGTTTTTAAATTTTGAGAAAATTTGACTTTGGGGAGTCCCTCAGTCACATATTCTCTAAATTGTTGTAAGCATCCTACCTGTACAAATGAATTGGAAGAAACCTACTTGGAAACCTGTAGCCTACCGTGTGCCCTTGCCTCTGTTTGGCGCATCTTTACGCACGACTCTCTGGTCTCGCCTCTCCACAGGTAGCCTGTATATTTTTGGGGGCAGTCTAAGCATTAATCGGAGGACATTCCCACTGAAAAAGGACACGGGATGCACACACGCTCCTTGAGATCCCGTAGCCTACTGGTCTGGGTGCCCTTGCCTCACTTTGCCTCTTTACGCGCGGCTCTCTAGTCTCGCCTCTCCGCACAGGTAGCCTATATTTATTTTCGGGGGCAGTCTAAAACATTAATCGGAGGACATTCCCACTGAAAAAGGACACGGGATGCGCACACACTCGCACGCAGGCTCGCTCCAGAGGTGCAGTAGCCCTGACGTACAGACCGAGGGAGTAAACATGGCGTCAGACGGAATGGTGCTCACAAACCACGACCATCAGACCCGTGTGGGAATCCTGACAGGTAAGCGACACACAACATTGAAATACAGTACTAATAACGCCATGTATGCATTTTGTCGCCGTTTTTGTGGTCGGATTGCCGTGCACGTACGCTGTCAGAAGACGAGCTGGGTTCGCTGCAGAGCTAGCCTCGGTTAGCCACACGATGCTAACCGGTACCATTGGCTGTCATTCGTCGGTGTTAGCTGGATGCTTTACACAGGTGGCACAGATGTGGATTTTTGCCCCTAAACGGCCTAATTGCGGCCCAAAAAAGACATGGCTGCAGAATGTGTACCTTTTATGTACCAATGCATGACAACTATCACGATTTATGCGTTATTTGATTGCTACATGACAGAAATAGTGGTTTAACCAGTGAATTATAAGCGATACAGGATATATTCACGTCTTTTCAAAATTAGCAAGCTCACATCTGGAGGTGGGTTGAGTGTTTAACCAAAATCTATGTTTTATTTTGAAATTTAAGGCCGTGATTTCCGAAACTAAATCGTGATTTGCTTTTAGGTTGACCACACGGAGCGTTATACCTATTTTCTTGCTATGTACCATTACCAAGCCTGCATTATTCATGATCCCTTTGCAGATCCGAAATAGTGGACACTATATTGAGGTCGCCTCCAGTCTGTTAGCAACCATTTTCTCCCCCCTTTCAAAGGGAATCCACTGCACCCAAGCGGTACATGTGTGGTTTTTAAGTGGCATATGTTAATAGCGCAATTCTTTAGTTATTGCGCGTAATAAGGTTGGCACAGCGCTGCGTCGTGGCGTATGCGTTCGGGTTGTTTGAGCAGCCTTACTAATTTGTGGGGCTGCTGTTTGCATCCTAGTCGTGCAGTGGATAGAGGGGGGACGGGGGAGCAGCAGCAGCAGAGCCGAGTGACAAGCAACGCTAGCCCGCTGACTCCTAACCACAGCTAGGGATACGTGAGGATAATGCCAAACAGCTAAATGACAAGTCCATGGTGGTTCATAGTATATCTCAGCTAGCATTTGGGGCTAACATCGGCTAACCCTGCTGTCCATGGAGACCTACAACCTCCTGTCACATGTCAACGCACGTTTTCACCCGTTTACGACCCGTGAATATGCGTAAAAATGCGTTATATCTGTGGTACTGGCAACGATGCGTGATTCAAAGGATACAGTTGGGGCCTGCTGTTGCATAGGCACTGCAGAATCTGATTAAAAAGGCTTATTAATAGGAATTCTGCATTTGTGCAAAAAAATACAGAGGATTTAACGGTGTATGTCAGTGTAATGTCACTTCTGATTCAAGGGCGGATTGTGAATAAACAGAATTAGAATACCACTTTTGTTCTTTCTGGTGTGTTTGTCCTGGTTAAGATCTGTTTTTTCAGGTCTGTGTTAATATTAGTCCTCTTTTTAGACCTGGATTTAGTCCCGTTCTAGTCTTATCCTAGTCCTGCTTAGACTGGAGCCTAAAAGTTTGAGAAGTGCTGCTATTCGTGATAGGTCATAGGTGACATCTTGAGGACTTTTCACAATTCAGAATATATAATGAATTAAAAAAAAGTTTAAAAATTAAAGTACAAAAAATAATTACAAAGATATACTGATTTGAGATATAATGCCTGATATATCTGGTTGGTAAAGAAACATTGGCTGTAAAAAGTCCAAGTGTTTTCATTTAACTCATAATATTTTATTCCTGGATGTCTCAAAATTTGCATCACTTTCTTTCATTTGTCAATTGCTATGGCAACGGTTCACATTTTTCACTATTCTGAATCCAGATGCATAACAGTCCATCCGTATTTTAATCGCATCTGTGGCTTTGATTGTTACAAGTACTAGCCGTATGTTTATTAAATTGCATATTTAAATGTTATTTCTATTTTTGGATTGGAGTGGTGCCAAATCACATCACCCACAGTGGGCTAGTGATCTCTGTGTCATCCAGGAAATGTGTAGTATCAACAAATGTCAAATAAATGAATCAAAAAACACTCACATCTTTTTCTCTCAAATTTTAATATTCAAGAAAGACTTAACATTATCACTTACTTTGACCTAAAACTATGTAAATAGAGTATACAGTTTAGTATGTATTAACTTGCTGGACACATTGCCTCACAGCGCAAAGGTCAGAGGCTCAGCTGGTTAAGAGTTTTTCTGTGTAGTGTTCACTGTAGCTTAACCAAATCAACCCAAAACAATTACTCAAATTCTTAAACCTGCCTTTTTTATAAGATAAGAGAACCTGTATTTGTTCCACAATGAGGAAATTCCAGTAAATAATTGAATATGACTGGATATATAGATGAATAAAAGCTCTACAAACCTGTTTATTATGAAATGCATTTGAGCAGACACACATTGAAGGTGCATTGTGTAACTTTTCTGGTGGAGGATCTGTCATATTATTTTCTCCATGGAGATGTTGTTGCTTTGTCTGAAATGTTTCACAGTATAGCATTAAACGTTTCTATCTTTATGGAGACCAAACCAAACCAAGTTACAGGTCAGAACTGTGGAGAGGCAACCCTGCACACAGCGAAAAAGCCTGTTTTTCTCTGAATTTTTGAGCTATAAAACCACATGTAACTGAATAAATTTAAAGTAGAGCTGTTTAATGTGATACTGTGGAACATTCCAGGCAGAACAATTACATTTCCATAGAAACAAGTATGTGATGGCCCCCCAACCAAAAAGTGACATAGTGCACTTTTAATGCATATTTTTCTGTACTACCGTGCATCGTGATGACAATATTCAAGACGGGAATTAACATAAAGGATGCCTCTCTCTTTTCAGTTCTTGGCTGACCTTAAATGGCCTTTTAATCTTCACTTTACTATGGCCAAAATAGAAGTTGCATTTTAAATCTGATCTGCCACACTTAATAACAAAATGCAATAATGTTTCATAATGCACAGGAGTTGACCATAAGGGTCGTACGTTGTTATGTTCTTGAATTCCATTATCCATCCATTTATAAAATCAGCTGGACGGAAAGGGATTTCGCTTATGTAATTTCACTATTTTTATGAGAAATCCCCAAACCAAAATCTACAGACGTGATTTCTGTTTCAGACTTCGTCCACAATTACATTATATTAGTCTTGTGGCTCAGTGTACTATCACATGACAACAACAATCAGATTCACACACGTATAATTCAATAATTCTGTCAATTTCCATTAATATGGTGAAAGAATTTTATGATGGATACAAAGAAGAGGTCACACATTGTTCTATTGTTTCTTTCATAATGGGCTCAGAAGCTATATTAACCACACACCAGGCCAAGACATTTGCATTTGACAGTAGAGCTGCAGCTATTAATCAAAATAATCATGACTACTCAACTATTAAAATAACTGTAATTGTACTTTGATAACCATAATAATTAGCTGGACTATACAATCTTTAAAACATTTAGAAGCCTTTAGTCACCATATTTCAACCTCTATTTCAGCCACTCTCGCATTTTGGTCTATTAATTGGTGTAATAAGACAATTTACTGTTGGCCTATCTCTTAATATTGAGCAGTTTTTTGTTTTCAGTTGTTCTGCAGTTACTTTATAAGATAAATAACAGTTATAAAGCACTTTTTGCCATACACTGTTTGTGTTGAAAGAAAATAAAAAATTCTCTTTTCAGTCTCTGCCCTGCTATCAGTTGATATCGGAATCGGCAAATACTTAAACGTCTCAACTGATCACACCTTTAGAGTTGAATAATGACTCCACTCTGAGGCTATTGTGTAAAAAAATAAAATTCACAATAAATTCAAGCAGTTATTTATACTGACAGAGACGACACTGAACTTTGTGCCAGTTTTTGTTTCATGAGGATAGGCCCACTAATTACAGAGATATGAACCAAAAACCAGGTCAACAAATCTGCAATCTGACGGTTACACAACAAATTCCACCATAGATTTCTGACCTGTCCTTCTTCTCTCTTTCACACTATGTTCTTCAAAATGTTAGAACGTCATATGAGCCCATTCCTAATTGCGTGTCTTTCTTGTCTGAAGTGAGTGACAGCTGCTTTAAGAACTTGGCCGAAGACAGAAGTGGAGTGAATTTGAAGGATCTGGTCCATGATCCCTCTCTGTGAGTCCAAAACACCGATCAAACATCTGCAGATTCAGCATTTAATATTATCTTTAATAACTGTATCCCTGTATGCCTCCCTCTGCAGGCTCGGGGGAGTCATAGCCGCCTACAAAATTGTCCCCGATGAGATCGATGAAATAAAGGTAAGACGTTTGATCCTGGGTAACTACCTGCACTATGCTTACAGTTAAAATTAGACATGAACGATTAATTAAAACTGAATTAAAATCACAATACTCAGAAATCTGCAAAGTCAGCAATAAAAGGAGATATAATGTCCTCTACAGAGAACTAAACATCTTGTCTGTAATTGTATCTTGCAGTTATTTTAAGGTACATTGCACAACTTTTCTGGTGAAGGGTCTGTCACCTGCTTATCTCCTTGGAGATGTTATTGCTTAGTCTAGAATGTTGCACAGTGGAGATTAAACCTATTTCTCTCAAGGGAGACAACTATAGGCTACATTACAGGTCACATAAATTCACAGAGAATTATTGTCATTTTGAGCAGTAGAAACACCCATAATGAATACATGCTAGATAGATATGTTTAATGTTATATGAAAGTGATAACATCTCTATGGAGACAAGCAGGTGTCGTACCTCCATCCGGAAAAGTTGCACAATGTACGTTTAAACCAGTAGCTCTGTAGTTTTGCTTGTGATCTCTGTTTTCTGTGTAATCCCTCAATTATCCAGATTGGGGCCATAGCAAAAGGGTTATTTTTTTATTCCATGTTCTGGTTTGAGCAGTATATTCATTTAGTTCCATAGTGTAATGGACAAACTGTAAAAATTCTAATGGAATAAAAAATAATAAGATAAATCTGTCAATTAATTGTCAATCAATTATTTATAGAGCCCTTTCCAACACTCAAGGTGACCAAAGTGCTTAAAGGTGCACTGTGCAACTTTTCAAGTTTGGGGTCCACTATCATTGAGATGCTTGCTGTTGCTTTGCCTATAATGTTCCACAATATGGTATTAAATATGCATTTATTCAATTATGTTTACTTTTATTGTTCAAAAATACCTTTAAAAACATGTGTTCTTACTGTGAGCACGGTCACCTTTTCACAGATCTCACCTGTAATTTGACCTGATGGTGTCTCCTGCTTGTTTCTATGGAGATTGAAAAGTTTAATTCAATACTTTAGAATATTGGGGTAAAGCAATAACATTTCCATGGAGACAAGTAACTGGTGGGCCCTCTACCTGAAAAGTTACACAGTGCACCTTTAAATATTGAAGTGAACACAATATAAAAACATGCAAAAACATTAAACAATGAAATAAAAGTGTCACTGCATTAGTGAGTGTTAAAGGCCAGTCTGAAAAGATACATTTTGAGCCTAGATTTAAACAGGGATTATCAGGTACAGATATTCCTCGTGTGTTAAAAAGAATCTGATTCAATATTATATAAGTGAGAAACACTGGAAATAAGGAAATGAGTGAAATTGAGGCTCCTGTATTGGCGTGATGGTTAATTTTTGTTGTTTTTTTATTTCAGGACACTTTGCTGGAGTGGTGCGATGAACATGAGCTGAATCTTATTCTCACGACTGGAGGAACCGGCTTCGCACCAAAAGATGTCACTCCCGAGGTAAAAACTGCTGGGATGTTTGGGTTTTAATATATACACTTAAAGGTACAATGTGTAACTTTTCTGGTGGAGTGCCCATCACCTGTTTGTCTCCATGGAGAAGTTATTGCTTCAGACTTAGACCAACTTAATTTGATCCATAAGGGGAATGATTTGAACACAGTAGCTCACTCATCTCAATAAATATAATAACAAAGAGCAAAAATGTATACCGACTGGCATTTCACTTATGTATCTCCATGGAGACAACCATCAGGCCAAGTTATAGGTCAGATCTGTGGAGAAGTGGCCCCTGCGTACAATAAAAATTGATGTAATTCTGTAACTGAATGAATAGAAGTAAGTAAGTAAGACATATGGAACATTTCAGACCAAAAATATAATTTCCTAGAGATGAACTGGTAGCAAACCCCACACAGAAAAGTTTCATAGTGCACCTTTAAAAAATTATGTATTTTGATAACCAATTACATTATTTGGTTAACATTTGGGCAATCCATGTGCTAAAGTGTCACTGTAAAGCTCATGTTTGAAATGTACCATATTTTTCGGACTATAAGTTGCTCTGGAGTATAACTCACACCAGCCAAAAAATACGTAATGAAGAAGAAAAAAACATATCTATGTCGCATGGGACTACAAGTCGCACATTTTAGGGGACGGGATGATTTCGGTTGTCATTGAAGTCCAGGCTTTGTCGATCCATTCAATGACTTCCAGGAAAGTTACATGGTGCACCCTCCCAGTTGCTGTGAAGTTGTGTTCTCCATCCCCACTTTCCGCCAGTCCCTCACAAGTTTCTCGCTCACTCCAAACTTTTTTTACTGCTGCTCAATTACCGTTTTCGGCTGCATATTTCACTACTTGCAGCAGGATAGCGGCAGGAGACATGCGCAGTAGGGCGCCAAGTGACAGTGGTACAGTAGTAGCAGATACTGACACACAAGCCTAGAGCGCCCTCTCGCGGCTCACAGTGTGAAAATTTTAATGTATAAGTTGCACCAGGAGAATAAGTCGCAGGAAACACCCATAGTCCGAAAAATACGGTTAGTGTTTTATGTAAAATTAAGTACAGAAATTTCCCATTATATAGGCCACCCTTGTTTGGAAGATTGCCCTTATGTAATCTTTATGTACTTTCCATTTTTGATTCACTCTTTGTGCAGCCTTTTTAAATAGTTTGATTTAATAAAAGTTATTACTATAATAATACTTTAATTGTATATAATCTTGCAGTACCTCTTCCTTTAAACATGACTTCTCTGATCTATTAATAGTACATAAATAGGGAGGACTGAAAAAAACATTAAACATTAGAGCTGTTGGCCTTTAGTGTTTTAGTCAATCAGTTGATCTGTCATTCGACCAAATTTTGCATTTGTCGACTAATCATTTTATTTAGATTATACAGTTTTATATGGGACAAGAACTGAAAAGAGAGGAGAATGAGTGAGTGAGCTGAAGATTTGGTATTTTTTGTATTTATAATATGCAGCTAATCACAAGTTTCCTCTGTCTTTATATAAATACAAACAGCTTCCTTGTACTTTTTTGTATAGAAATAGCTGTTTATGCATGAACTCCCCCTGCAGGTGTAGTCTTGTGAGTGCAGTTTGGGTCTGATACACAAAGATATGTACTGTAATCATTTTGAGAGCTTTTGTCACACCCCGTTTTTAGTCTATTACTAAATGATCAGCAGGACATGTCTTAAATCGACCAAGAATTTCTTTAGTCAACTACTTCCCTGTTAAAGTTGCACTATGTAACTTCTAAGGTGGAGGGCCTGCTACTTGCTTGTCTCCATGAAGATGTTATTTCTTTGCCTGGAATGTTCCACAGTAGGGCATTAAACATATCTCCCTTGCAGTTGTTCAATTGCAGGTGTTTTATAGCTTAACAATATCTTACAAAACATGAATTCTTATTATGTGCAGGCTAGCTTCTCCATAGATTTTGACCATTAAATTGCAAAACGGTAATATCAGTCAAGTGATGGTCCCTACACCAGAAAAGCTACACAGTGGACCTTTAAACAAATTAAAATGAATGCCCCTGTGTTTTCTTCAGGCGACCAGAGAGGTGATAGAGAGAGAGGCTCCAGGAATGGCTCTGGCTATGTTAATGGGATCTCTCAATGTTACACCTCTGGGCATGCTATCCAGGTAAAAATGTACTATCTCAAATTCTTAAGCAAAATACATTCTTTAGTATTGTACATTTGTCTATCTGTATATCTGATTTAATTAATTCTCTAACAAACTGTCTTTGCTTCTCTAATTTGCAGGCCTGTGTGTGGCATTCGTGGTAAAACTCTGATCATCAACCTCCCAGGGAGCAAGAAGGGCTCCCAGGTACTGTAATGCGTTTAGTTATTTGTGGTGTCTAAGAATAGCTCTTCAGTTTAACATCACGATTAGACTTAAATTCTTGCTTTTATCTTAGTGTTGTGTCTTGCCCAAGGACACAAAAACAACATGCAAGGCCAGTAGTGGCTATCAAACAGCCACTGCCACTTTGAGCTCTAATTTAGTCCAGATGTAGACTTGGTTTGGTTCTGCTGGTGCTGGTTTAGTCCTGGTCTAGTCCAGATTTTGTTCCAATGTTTGTACCAATTTTTATATAGTGTGTGCGTAAGTGGTTCAAGGAAGGTTGCCAGTTAAAATCCAGCTCCAATCAGTATATAAACTTGGGACAGCCACCTACCTTAAGTTTGAATGTGATGGGCGGTAGTCTGATTTGCTTAACCATTGCGTAATGTTAACCTGTTTTAACCCATATCTGAACTTTGAATCATATTGTTGATTTAATAATTAAGCATTTATTATCAGATTTTTGTCATCATAAATGAGGTCACCGTGATTTGTAGTGTGATAAATACCTACCCACAACATCCAGATTAGGTCTAAACCATAGACTGTATATATAAATGGACATTGCTAAACCACTAGCAGCCACGTTCCAAATAGGAAGTGAGCATGGGCATACTTCCTGCTCCATCGACTCGGGCTCCAATTCACTTTACACTGAAAAACTGAAAAATATTCATATTAACTCATTCTACATGATCCTGGTGTTTTTGTTTTTATTTTGCTGTTTTGTTCATAAATCAATTACTATTCCTAATATGGAACTTGGCTCCAAATTCACCCCTGCTAGCTGCTAGCCTTGTGAGCTTCATTTGACTAGAGTCGGACACTATGGGTGACGTCATACTCCCTTTCCCTGCATTCTATTGAATGTCGGTAGTCAATATATACGAGTCAGTTCTCGTGACATCTGTTGTAAAAGCGTTCCATTGCAACAGTTAGGGAACATATGGATGCTCGAGAAAGTATAATGCAATATCAGATATTGCTATCTCCTGTTAATAAATATTCTGTTATTTAACATTGGCCCTCGGCTATTCAATTATGGCAGTTTGACTATTATATGTCCAGGAAAAAAAACTTCTGTCTACTGTCAAATGATGTGAAAGAAAGTCTAAATGTCACTACAAAGTTTTTAGGAGACATTTTCTCTACGAATACACAACTTCACATATCAAACCAACCAAATCGGTCTGGCACCAAACTAGCCCGAGTTTGTGTTTCGGAACCCCGATTTGATTGGCCATTCCATTGCACTTTCTCGAGGTGAAGGTCATTACACTGAGTCCCGAGCACAATAGATTGCAGCATTAGTCCATTTCTTTATACAGTCCGTGGTCTAAACTGGGAAACAGTGAGACTAGACCAGGCTTAAACCAGGACTGGAACATGATCCAACTAAATCCATTTCAGATCTAAAAAACTCTATTCTCAAACTAGGACCAAACCAGGCCTAAAGTGAATGCAGCTAAAGCACCATTGTTCTTCTTCAGGAGTGTTTCCAGTTCATCTTACCCGCTCTGCCCCACGCCATCGACCTGCTGCGTGAGGCCAACGTCCGGGTGAAGGCCACACACGCAGCCCTGGAGCAGCTGCCCTCGCCCCTGTCCAACACCCACAACAACGCGCACAACAGCACCCACACCATGGAGAGGGGCACCCAGTGTGAGGAAGAGGAGGAGGAGGAAGAGGAGCGCCGCCGAGGAGGACGCCACGCGCACAATCACCATCACCATCACCACCACCACCAGCACGGCTCCTCCCACATCACTGCTGCCGCCATCGCTGCAAAGGTAAATAAAGCTAATGCTGCTAAGCTAAAGGTAATCACTCCCAAGGTAAACAATACTAATGCTGCTAAGCTAGAAGAACTATGGTCCCTGCAAAGGTAAAAGATGCTAATGCTACAAAGCTAATTATAATCGCTGCAAAGGTAGACAGTGCTAATGCTGCTAAGCTAATTTTAACAGCTGCAAAAATGAATGATGCTAATGTGGCTAAATGAATTATTACCCTCGCAAATGTAAACAATGCTAATGCTGCTAAGCTAATTGTAATCGCTGCCAAGGTAAATGTTGCTAATGCTGCTGAGCCAACTATGGCCACTTTTACATCATGTTTTTTTTATTTCTGAATTAATTGTTCTGAATTAAATAGTTCAGAATTAAAATAATCTCCATTGAGTTTACATGGAAATAATAATTCCAAATTGAGGTTTACATGGAAAACTTGTTAAATCACCTTCATTTAATTCCACTCAACATCTGAGGGTTGGGAAGGATTCTGATTGGACAGGGGGTGCACGAACGTATTTATGTCTATCAGAAGAAAACACACTTTAGCTTGCTATGGGCTTTTTTGCATGGCTCTATAATTAAAACTGGATAAGGCACTCCCCTTCTGTCCCGGCTCGAGACTGACTAGTGGCCGCTCCAGGTACTGCAGCTCCTGGGAGCTTGGGCCCAGAAACAATTCTCCCATAAAAGCACAATGCATTTTTTGGGAATTCAAACTGCCCGTGTTTGGCTGACAGAGCATCGACAACTTTCATTAAGGTGGATTTTGTAGGGATTCTTTTCAATTTTCACAACATAAACTTTTAAAGTTTTTTAAATCCTCAAAGCGCCTAAAAGTTAACTTTGTAAAAGTTAGCCTAGCTCCGCTCTGAGCCCACACTAGCTCCGCTCTAGCAGCTCTCGCTCTGATTGGTCCAGAGGTCACATGGGTGGGAGGCGCTAGCCTCTATTGAGGAAGTAAATATGAAAGTGAAAAAAATTTTTGGGCCCATGCACCACTAAGCACAGGCCACTGAAAACAATACAGCGTCACCTTGGATTCATCTTCCAGATTTTATTATAGTTCTGTGCTTTTTTTGTCATCTCAGTTTGTCGTTACGCCATGATACAAACTTTTTTCGCAGTCGTTCCAATGCAAGCCAACGAGCATGCGCTGAACAACCAAAAATTATTTTTAAGAATAAACGTTTACATGATTGAAGAATAAATTAATTCGGCTTCAAAATCAGAATAAACCCCCCAAAACCAACCACCCATTATTCGGAAATAAGTTTAATTCCAAATAATTATTTTCATTGGGAATTAAATGTTTACATCGTCTTTTTAAAGCTGAATTAATTTTTATCCAGAAGTAAATTATTTTTATTTGATTTGATTTGATTAAAGCTCTCATGTAAACGTGGCATATGAGTGCTGCAAGATAAACAATGCTAATATCGCTATGATACCTATAAGAAGTATGATCCCTGCAAAGGTAAACAATGCTAATGCTGCTAAGCTTACTATGGTCACTGCAAAGGTAAATGATGCTAGTGCTAAGCTATTTATTGTTGCTGCTAAGGTAAACAGTGCTAGTGCTGCTAAGCAGAATATGGTTGCCAGTTCAGTTTTTTTGTGCCAAACCAGTTATGCCATACTACAGCCACTTTTCATTGGGGCTATGCTAGTAAATGTTGATTTGGAAATGTTTGTAAATGTTGAATGTTTATTCACTATCAGGTGAAGGTCATGGTTCGCATTAGGGAGAAGTGTTTTGTTTAAGTTTAGGGCTCAGGAAGAGGTAATGTTGTGTAAAAATAGATGGAAGAAATCTCAAAAATAATCTATTGTAAAAACTGTCAAAATTTGGACTAAAAATTGGGTTTAACTTCCACCCATAAAAACGGGAAGTGGAAATTGGGAAGGTTGCTCTTCTCCATAGGCTTCTTTCCATTATTTCCTGGATGGGATTTAGAGCTGAGGAATCGAGGAGCTTTGAGGAGGTGAGCGATGAGAAGTGGGATGTGCCCGCTGTCCACCGTAGAGACACAGAAGAAGGACTTGTGATGGGGCTGGAAACTGGATAAAAGTTTAATGAATGTAGTGGAGAAAGTGGGACACTGCAGCACAAAGCCACAACTAAAAGGCTAAGAGCTATTTATAACAATACTACTACAAGATTGTTTGTACTTGAGTGTAACAAAATAGGCACTGAAGTCTCACCTTAATATTGGTGGTTTACAGTTCCTAGATTGAGATGAAGTTATACTACCAATTCCAGGACAGCTTTCCCTATTGATAACATTGCATTTTGCCATGAGATATCTTAAAGCTAAATTGTTTCACAAATGTTGGACCTGATCATTTCCTTTAGTAATTAGTCCCAGAGTGAATTGTTTATTATGACAAAAATTTCATCCAACTTCATCCATTAAAGGTTCACTGTGTAACCTTTTGGGGACTGTTACCTGCTTTTTTCTATGGATGCTCTGTGTGGAATGTTTCACATCATGACGTTAAACAGTTCTACCTTTCATTTATTCAATTGCGTTGGTTTTATAACTCACAATTAGGGATGGGTGTGATTAATCGATTAATCGATAATTGATCATTAAGAATTTCGTCGATTACGTTAATTTTAATCGACAAACCGAATGTAGGTTGCTGTGCGTAGCGTGACCAAACAGAGGTCTGTACATGTAGCTCTCTGCACTCAGAAGGAGCGAACAAACACAAACATTCGGTGAGTCTGCAGCGTACCGAAGCACAAATGCGTATTTAACGATGATTTGTACAAGAAATTCCACGCTTTCCGTTGCGTTCGGGACAAGTGGGAGTCCTTGTGCACAGTGTACAAAGCAGGAACATATGTTTCGGTGTCCAGTGGGAAAAAGCTTTGCCAGGTGAGAGTCGCGCAATGTCGATGACGAGTTCCCACCTCCCATCCCCCGTACGGTGTCCTGGTATTGACAAACGCAAATATGGTAACACTAACCTGTATTCCACTGAATCATGTCTTTTAATCCGACAGAAATTGACAGAATCAGCGCACAAGAGCTGTAGTTTTACCTTCGCTGAGTTTATGCAAATTAGTGATGCGGTTTTAAGTTTCGTTTCTGTGAGAGTTGCGCAAAACTGAATTAAACACATTATAATGTCAAACGGGCTGATGTGGCTCTAGAGTCGTTACAGTTTATATGTCGTAAAGTTGAATTTATTTATGCAGATTAGTAGTGCAGATAGTAATAATAATGATGATCATTTTAATATAAACACGTTAATGATTAATCGATAATTGATCGTTAATTCTTCCGACGATCGATTAAGAAAATTTCATCGAATGCCCATCCCTACTCACAATACCTACAAAAACAGGCATTCTGACTGTGAGCGGGGTTGCTTCTCCACAGATCTGACCCTGTAACTTGGCCTGGTTTGGTCTCCATGAAGATACAAAGGTGTAATACCGTACTGTGAAACATTCCAGACAAAGCAATAACATCTCAGTGGAGAAAAGCATTTGACAGACTCTCCACCAGAAAATTTACTCAATGCGTCTTTTTAAGGGGAAAAAATTTTTAATTCTAGTCTACCACAACTGTGCAACAACAAAACTAATCTTTAAAGAAATTGCAAAAAGATTTCTAAATAAGTAAAAAAACACACAAGGTACAAATTAAGGCTGCAACTATTATTTTAGAATTTTTGGCATTGATTTTAGTGTCTGTTTAGTCAACAATTATGATGAGCAATGATTTTAATAGTAGTTATATTCAAGATCTGTATATGGGTTTGTATTACGTTCAACATAAGCCTCCCTACATTAGCACAATCCATACCATATAATAAAACGGTAAAGATCATACACTATGATTTTCAAATTTGTTGCATTCCTATACTATGAACACTTTATTTTTCTTTATCAAATTATTTCATTTTTTGTTATTTATTTTGTATTTTGTCATTTAAATACATTCATAGTTCACCTCTCCCTCTCATTGCATTATCCTGTTTGTCTATTTTCTGTTTTGTGGATGTCAGTAATGCATGTGTATCCCCATCAGACCAGTCATGCTGTGGTTATGGCTAAGGGCGCCCCCTACCTGCCCGGCACCACACCTGCACCCACTCATTTTACCTGCTCCTGTAACCACGACGACCAGGTGAGACATCACATGACCCGCCCTCCTTCTCTCCTCTCATTGGTCATTATCAACCCCACACTTCCTGTTCTTGCCAAAAGTGTTCTGTTTTCAGTGAGTTTTATTTCTATGCAACTATGTTTTGAATTTAGTTTTGACATTTTAAAGGTGCATTGTGTAACTTTTCTGATTGAGGGTCCATCAAATGCGTTTCTACATGGAGATGTTATTGCTTTGTCAGGAATTTCACAGTATGGGATTAAACCTTTCTATCTTCATGGAGACCAAACCAGACCAAGTTACAGGTCAGATCTGTAGAGAGGCAACCCCACTCACAGCCAGAAGAGCTTTAAAAACACCTGCAATTTCATAAAGAACTGTTTGTCATACTGTGGAACTTTCTAGGCAGAGCAATGACATATCCATAGAAACAGGTGATAGAGGTTACACAATGCTCCTTTAAAGTCTTGAATATGTTCTAATGATTAAAACCAGTTCATTTATTTAAGGCATGGAAACTACAATTTGTCCTAAACTGTTTTGTTGCCACTGGAATGCAGTTTGTAGATGTGATGGCTCTTTACTTCACTGCAAACCAAACATTTTTAATTGAGTTTAAATTAAAACCTCTCAGACACATAGATCTGTTTGTATACAATATTCCAGATATTATTACAGCTACCACAATGAAGTTGTATCTTATTTTTAATAATTTTGCTACATCTTTATCAAATTTCTAACTAAATATTTTTATTGTCAGGTTTGTTCACTCGCACTGCAAAAAAGGAATATTTACAGTACACAGTTAAAATGACAGTGCAGCCTGGTAATTTCATTGCACAAGATGTAAAACATTCACAATACTGGTCAGAAAATGGCTACTTTCTAATATTATACCAAAATTCTGTTTATTTATTTTAATTAGGACAGTGCATATTAATCAAATGTGTAAAAAGCAGTTTCAGCAAAAAAAAAAATTGTGAAAGGCTTATTACAAAATTATTACAACAGCAGACATAGATTACCCATCTATGTCCCAAGTAGTGAAGTCTTCAAATTAAATATTGATTGTGTTGCTAATAAACTCATAAATACCTTTTTCCTGTTTACCTTCTTGTTTTGACTCTCTTAATGAATGAAGCATAATGAACTCCTTGCTTTGGGTTGCCAGATTCAAATTTTTACAGCTAGTGGCATCCCAGATGAAGTTATACTTGTCATTTTATCTGATCTAGATTTTCCCTTTTTGCAGTGCACTCACAATGTATTTTATAAACAGTTCTGTTCTGAAAGCCACATTTAGTTATTTTTAGTGAATCTAGTTTTTAGATAAGTTCCCACTGAAGAGCCCTGTGCAGCGTTGGCCTGTAGCACTAAGTGCGTTTGTGTGTGTATGTGTCTGGTTGTGTGTAGATCCCGGATTCGATCATTTCGCGAGGCGTTCAGGTGCTTCCTCGAGATTCGGCCTCTTTAAGCTCCACCCCCTCTGAGTCTCCACGGGCAACACAGGCCACCTCCCGCCTGTCCACCGCCTCATGCCCCACCCCCAAGGTACACACAGCACCCAACAGCACCCCAAACACAGCACCCAACAGCACCCAAAAACATCACAGCACCAACTCACACACCACATGAATCAAAGACAGTAATCTACCCCCTCCTTTCTCAAAATCTGTCTATAATGTAAAAATAAAAGTAGATGAAAATTTTTTAATTGCCGAGATTTGAATTAGCATCAAACCATCCTATAAGCTAATTTAGTCTCGGGACTTGTGTGCTTTTTGAATTGAATGGGAATGAATGGGACTTTAGGATTTCTTGAACGTCATTGAACTGTCTTCAGTTGTGATTCATAGAAAAATGTCCCAAAAACATGTTTTAGGTACCAGGCTGTAGCATTTATACTGGTTTAGTTTTTATTTGCACACTTGTCTAATCAGTCCATTATATCATAAACAATAACTGAAAGTATGTTTACAAAGTACCAATTTTTTTTATTTTATGCAACAAAAGAAAAGTGATTTAAAAGTATTTTTTCACATGACAAATACTGTAGAAAAGTAAAATGTCATCAGTTTTTACAAACTGCTTTGATGTCAATTGAACTTCCATTATTTTAGTTCAACTAAACCTCAGTGTTTCTGAATGACAGTATTTTAAAATACATTTCTGTGAAGGGTGCGTTCACACTTTGCATATACACCACACCAAAATCAAGACTGAACTGGTCGTAAACCAGGACTAGGCCGGGACTAGACCAGGACTAGACCAAGTCTACATCAGGTCTTAACTGGGACCAAACCAGTCCAAGTGTGAACGCAGCCTTAGAGTAATTCTTCCCACATATTTAAACCACACACTCTGTCCAAATGCAGCCTCTGTATCTGTGTGCAGGTTCAGTCTCGATGTGGCAGCAATGAGAACATTCTGAGAGCCAGTAAGTTCAGTAAGGGACATTTTGTTTTCTCTCAAACACATACCCCCCCTCAGTTTGGTGCTTCTGTGATGTTTGACTCCTCTCTCCTCTCTCAGGTCACAGTGCAGTGGACATCAGTAAAGTAGCGCGTCGTCACCGTATGTCCCCCTTCCCGTTGACGTCGATGGACAAAGCGTTTATCACTGTTCTGGAGATGACGCCCATTCTGGGGGTCGAGGTCATTAACTACAGAGGTGAGTCCCAATGTCTGCCTGGGTCTGTGTGCACTTTGAATTTACTGTAGCTTTGAAAGTTAAGAACACATACTGTGCTTGTGTCTGCTCTATAGTTATAATCTACACCATCATTGTGTCGTAATTTGCACATTTTAAATCTCAATATTCATCTAAAACAACTTTACAAAAAAACAAATCCACAACAAAGTGCATAGCTGCACATCACACCAGCAAGTAAAGGATTTTTTTCTTTTCATTTGTGCTAAAGTTAACTTTGTGATGCTGCTGAATCCTACGAGTATCACCGATTAAGGAAATTAAGGAAATACAGTTGTAGACTGAAGTAGGTACAGAACAGTAGGTACAGAGCAATAGGTACAGAGCAAGTCAATTACAGGTGTCTATCTTGGTCAAAATAGCCCGAGAATCGTGCAGTACTCAGGTGGTGTCACCTGTTTGTCTCCATGGAGATCGATATGTGTAATGCCATACTGTGGAATATTCCAGGCAGACAGACTGCACGTTAATAGCCACCTTAGTTAGTTCCTTAATGCAGGGTTTATGTTAGGGCTGGGCGATATGGATCAAAAAATATATCTCGATATATTTTGCTATATCTCGATATACGATATATATCTCGATATATGTTTAAGAAAAAATAACCCCCTAAAACTGAAAACTGCAAAAACAAATCTGCCAAATTCCACAAGGTCTTTTTTTTTTTTTTTATTAAAGTGTAAGAGTTCGGCAGTTCATATAGGAACATTTAAGATGACAGAAAATCCTTGATTACATAAATAATAATTTAACTGTAAAATAAAAGAAATAATAAATATTTCCTTCTTTTCATTCATAAATAAAACAACTCAACACAAGCTTATCTTTGTATTAACTCTGTTATCCAGAACATAATCATAACCGTGAGCTCCTTCAGCAGAAGAAGCTCAGGATGTTCCTTATTTTAACAGATCCATGTTATTATCCAGCAGTAAGGAGCTCTGAGTTTTCCCACAATCCACTGCAGACCAAACCCAACGTTTCCAAACACTTTTGTACAAGTGACACTGCAACAGATTATTCATTAAAATCTTCTGCATAAATAAACTTTACAATATATAAAGCATAACGACTCTAGAGCCACATCAGCCCATTTGAGAAAATAATGTGTTTAATGCAGTTTTGCGCACGTGTGTTTACATTTTACAGAAACAAAACTTAAGCACATGGCTCATTTGCATAAACAGCACTTCTCATGCAGCTCAGCTCGTTTAGCTTCTTTTGGACTAAAGGACGCGACTCAGTGGAATATGAGGATGTGCTGCTGGTGGTTTTGTCTGTAAATGGTGGAAAAGGTTCGTGGTGCTTGAAGCTTTTCACTGGCACCAACTTTCGGCGTTCAAGGCGATACTGAGGAGTGAAGGAGACACGAGCGAACAAAATCAGGGAGGAGGAGGCGACGAGAGAGAAGACAAACAAGTGAAGCGGCCAAATCTAAATTGAATATAAACATTATATCGATATATACGATATGTCCGAATTCATATCTCGATATATTTAAAATATCGATATATCGCCCACCCCTAGTTTATGTAACACTAGCATGATAAAAAAGCAGAGGAAACTACATAGACCATGCTTCTTTGCTCCATTTTAGTACAGCTTGCTTGATAAAATTACTACTATTAAACACTTCAATCTTAATCTTTTGAAATACAATAATTACTTGGCTTGTCTGGGTATTTCTGGGAAAAAAGTTACTACAATACAATGAGCCTGCCCAAAATACCACTAATAATATTATACACTGAGTTTTGAATATTCTTAGTCCTTGATAATTGATACTGCAACTGATGTGGAGCTAATTGAATGCACTGCTCTGTCTGAAGCTTTACTCAAGTTAGGCTTCTAATCTTCTAATCTAATCTTTATTTTAACACATGAACAGGAAGAGCTGAAACTGCAACAGGTGATTTGTGCTGTTAAACCTGCCTCTCAAGCCAACAGTTTTTCATTTAGTCACTCTCACCTTTTTGTTGAAAATCAGACTCCTAAACAGGACCATGAACACTTGCATTAATCACAGGCTTGTGAAAATGCATTGTTTAAAATCCATTTTGTATTTCTTCTTGGAGTTTCACACGATCTTAAAACGCCTTAAAAAGTGTGCATTGTGTCTCCGCGGTAACTTCTCAACATTCCACCACAGACGTACACGTAGAGCACCCCCACTGCGATGTCACTGCAAAATATTGATTGGTTTTCTTGATATCTTGTGTGTTTTGTTTTGTTCAGATGGTTTGGGCCGGGTGCTAGCTCAGGACATCTATGCCAAAGACAACCTCCCTCCATTTCCTGCTTCTGTAAAAGACGGTTATGCTGTACGAGGTAAGATACAACATTACATTATAAACAGCTCTATTTGAATTGTATGAATAAGTGAGAATTAACAGCTCAGTGTCAGTATTTTAAGTGTATTGGCACATTTGGCAAACATGTAAAGAGGTGGTAAAGATTTCTCCCATTATTAAGATTTGAAAAGCATTGTTTATTCACTCCATACTTTGTGGTGGTAAGATACTCTAACCTATCACAGTGTTAAATGTGTGTGCTAAAATTATTGCCGTGCCTTTGAATTAACATGAAACATAGATTCTGTTATTTTTTGTATTGATTTTGGTAAATAAATATTCTCATCCTGAGTTTCCGACATCAGGACAGTAATTTAAGTTCTAAATAAGTTTTTAATCTTATTCTTATTGGGAAATACTGATGGGAGCATGCTTCTAGTGGCTCCAGAATCATCAGTTTTGTCCTGGTTTAGTCCTGGTTCATTTTGGTTTAGGCCTTAGGTAGTCCTGGATTACTCCAGCCTTGATCCTGCTTTGGTCCTAGTTTAGTTCTGTTTAAGTCCTGATTTAGACCTAGTGTAGTCCTGGGTTAATTGTGGTTTAGTCCTAGTGTAGTCCTGGTTTAGTCCTGTGTAGTCCTGGTTTGGCCCTGGTTCAGTCCTGGCTTAGTTTTGGTTTAGTTCTGGTTTTGTCCTGGTTTAGTTCTTTTTTAGTCCTGGTTTAGGTTTTGTGCTGGTTTAATCCTGGTTTTGTCCTGATCCAGTTCTGGTTTAGTTCTAGTGTAGTCCTGGTTTAATCCCGTGTAGTCCTGGTTTGGCCCTGGTTCAGTCCTGGCTAGGTCATGGTGTAGTCTTGGTTTAGTCCTGGTTTCTTTCTGTTTTAGTCCTGGTTTAGTCCTGATCCAGTCCTGATTTAGTCCTACTGTAGTCCTGGTTTGGCCCTGGTTCAGTCCTGGCTTAATCTTGGTTTTGTCCTGTTTCACTTCTGTTTTAGTCCTGGTTTAGGTTTAGTCCTGGTTTGGCCCGGTTCAGTCCTGGCTTAGTCTTGGTGTACTCTTGGTTTATTTCTAGTTTAGTACTGGTTTTGTCCTGGTTTAGTTCTAGTTTAGTTTTGGTCAAGTCCTGGTTTAGACTTTGTTTTTAGTCCTGGTTTAGTTTTGGTTAGTTGGATCTTGGGCCCAAAACTACCCCACAAAGTTACTACATCACCTCTTTTGTACACAACTACACCAATACTGTCTGTGGCTCTCCATACCATTATATTTGTATATCATGGCATTACTGTGTTGCCTTTTCACTGTCATGTTTCTCATTTCTATAAATAACTGCATTAACATCATGTCCATTGACCTTTAGCTGCGGATGGCCCTGGAGACCGCTTCATCATGGGGGAGTCTCAGGCTGGACAACAGGTCAGCCCTAACGCACTAACATGTGTCTAATATAGGCCAACAGAAGGGGCTAATCGTATGGCCTAATAATGTATAAATGAGTGGTTCTTAAACGTCCTATATTACGCAAAATGGTCTCTTGTGAGCTTTTAGCCTTGTTATAATGTTGATTTCCATGATGAAAGTTGCCCTGTTCCAACTTGTGATGACTTGTGTGGTAGTGTTCAAGTTAATAGTTACCTTTTACCTTTTGTTCAGTTGAGATTGGCAATTCCAGGGCTGAAATCATCCAAATGATTGAGTGGAGCACTTCCTGTGTTTTCGCATGATATCACAATGTGGAACAGAGTGTTTTCTGTTTGAGAGAAGAGCTCACCCTAAATATGCAGGATGTGTGTTAACCATGTATGAATGAAGCAACATAGAAATCCAGGTATGTTTGTGATGAGGAAACAACATTATGACATTAATCATAAAATTGCGTAATATGGGCTCTTTAAACTATGGTATGTGGATTCTTGTGCTTTTCTCATTTTTGTTTCCTTGTTTCAAAAAGTGTTAGATTTCTATTGGTTTTGTCCTGGATTGGTCTTCCCTTTATTAGTCCTAGTGTAGACCTTTTTTTTTAATACCTAGCTGATAAAGTCCTGGTTTCCACCGTATTTATTCTTAATGAAGCACTTCTGGCTCCATCACTCTGGGTCTATATCACCATGTATTGAAAAAACGTTGCCCCCTCTCTCTTTAACTGCTGCTGTCAGGCTCCTCATTTTAGTCTTAAAATGTTCGTATTAACCCACTCTGCATGATCCTAGGGTTTCCTTAAATTTCTATTACTAATATGGAACTCTGCTCTAGATTTGTCCCTATAACTTCTAGCCTTAGTACATGGTTAGGTCCTTGAATTAGTTCAGATTTTTGGCTTGATTAATGTAAACTTAATTTAGACCTTGTTGTCCAACTTTAGTCCTGGTTTAATAAATGGAAGGCAAATTTATTTTCTGAGGTGATGTGACTAGTTTGAAAATCAAAAGGATTAACATGGTATTAATTTAAATACATGTTTGTGTATATCCAGAAGTCAGACATTTACCTGTGTAACTCTGCCTGTAGCCCACTCACACCGTGATGCCGGGTCAGGTGATGAGGGTGACGACAGGAGCCCCGATCCCGTGTGGTGCTGACGCTGTGGTCCAGGTGGAGGACACAGAGCTGCTGAGAGAGTCTGAAGATGTGAGTTTTGTGCAAGAAATTCTGTCTATTAAACTGCATCAGTTTTTATTGATCTTATTTATTATTGTTAGGTATAAAACTACTATTACATTTTATCTATTTACTATTATATAACTACACCTTCATTTATAACCACTAAAGCTACTACTTTATTAATACTTTAACTTCATTTAATTAACTAATTGCCAACCCTGACTCTTTCTAGCTGAAGTAAACTGAAATATTTGACTCTCTCTGTTTGGTTTACATTGGCACTCCCTCAAAAGTACTTTTATTTTTTTAGGATAATCTCTTAATCTCTGTGTTGTTTTAGGGCACTGAGGAGCTGGAGGTGAGGATTATGGTCCAGGCTCGACCCGGACAAGACATCAGGTAAATACAGAGATTAAAGAATAGGGCTGGGAATCACAGGACACCTCCTATTTTTATATGATACCAATACCTGTATTAATGATCATTTAGCCAAAATCCAATTCATATATTGTACAACCTTTTAAAATACATACACTGCTTAAGGGTCAGTAATAAATCTCTTCATTTATTTTTACTACTTTCTAAATCATATACTTACAGAAGACATCAAATATATGAAGTAAGATATAAAGAATTATGTAGCAGAGAAAAAAGTGAAATAATTTAATAATATTGAATTTTTTGTATTTTTTTGTTCAAATCCTCCAAGTAGCTTTATCCAAAAAGAGTTATTTAACTTTTTTTCTTTATTACATCATCCTCTATATTTTGTGACATATATTTGATGTCTTCTGTATGTATATAAACTGTAGAAAGTACAAACATTGAATAAGAGGGTGTGTTCACACTTTTGACTGGTTGTGTGTATTTATATAACCTTTTTTAAGAGTTGACATACAGGTATCATGTATGATGCATCTGGCCATGGAAATGCTCTGTCTGGAATGTTCCACGGTATGGCATTAAACATGTCAAACAAACAGGTGCTGGACTTTCTACCAAAAAAGATACATAATGCACCTTTAATTGACAAACATTTCTAATTTCAAATAGATTAGACTATTGTTAGCAAAAGAATAAACGACAAATTATTTCTTTGTCCCATAAACACACTAAGGAATATCAAAACAGCCACCCCCACTCTTGAGTATCTGAGCAGACACATGTGATCCCTGTGTGTTAAACCTGTTTCTCTCCTCCCTCTCCTCCCTCCTCTCCCTCCTCTCCCTCCTCAGGCCCATTGGTCATGACATCCGCAGAGGGGAGTGTGTTCTGGCCAAAGGGACCCACATGGGCCCCTCTGAGATCGGGCTCCTAGCCACAGTCGGGGTCACAGAGGTCAAGGTGCACAAGTTCCCTGTGGTGGCTGTCATGTCCACTGGAAACGAGGTACAAACACAAAACAAGCGCACATCGTACATTTACACTTTTTTCATCTACATCAGAAATTACACAGTAGTTTAATTACATGATAAATTCAAGCTTAATAATAATAGGAAAAAGCTGATCAGATAGTGGTTAAGTATGGAAGAAATGCATAAACAGAGCAAATAAATGTTAGTATTAATAATTAACAAAATAAAATGTGAAGTTAACGATAAGCAAGTATTCATGGATATCAGTGATTCCTTCCCGATTGGAATGGGGAAAGGTCCTCACAAAATCCTTCAAAAGATGTAACATTTTTCTTTTAATTGTGTTATTTATATAACAAAAGAGGCTTGTTGCCATGCCAAATCCTTCAAATTAGGAAGAAATCCTTATGTCTAAAACCCACAAATATAATTCATTTCCAAACACCTTGACTGAAGAAAATGTAAAAATAGCATGTTTTAACTTAACTCTGCTTATGGCATTATAAATGTATATAAAAATAAAAAATGATGGCAAACAATATCTAAAATTGGGATTAGCTGTGTAAAACTGGGTTTACTGTTTTGCTATGACAACCTTAATGTTATCAAGGAAATTACCCAAAATATACTCTATGTAAAAAGGCCAGCCTGTATTCATTGTATTCAAAGTGGAAGATAGTTTTTTAATATTTACTGTCAAAATCAACTAGAAAACACTGGCATTTGTTGTTACTTCATGATAATAACCTGTTTTTGTGAAGCTGCTGAATCCAGAGGACGACCTTCATCCTGGAAAAATCCGAGACTCAAACCGCTCAACTCTTTTGGCCACGATCCAGGAGCACGGATACCCCACAATCAACCTGGGCATCGTGGGAGACAAGTACGATTCAGAGCACTTTGAATTATACAGATTTGTGTTTATTTTCGCACAAATATTTAATGTTTCTGTGTGTTTAGCCCCGATGACCTGCTCTCAGCTCTCCACGAGGGCATCAGTCGTGCGGATGTCATCATCACCTCAGGAGGGGTGTCTATGGGAGAGAAGGTACAACTCAGATCTGAAGAAAATAAACAAAACACAAAGCAAAGAATTATAACTCAAAAATCTGTATAGCTCTTGCCTCATAGTTTCACAAAATTAAAGTTTCCTACAATTTGGTTGGCCCAGAAAGGCTATAGGGATGCTGTTTAGCTACCATTTTAGATTTAGAGAGAGAAGGTGCAACTCAGATTTGAAACTGTTTGAAAAACCCAATACTGTTTTAAATGGAATAGTGATATTTTAGAACATGTTATTTAAATGTTTTCATTATTTTTTCTAAAAAATGTGTACTAAGACATTGAATATAGGTGGTTTGTGTATTGCACTTGTCTCATGTTTTTGAAATTAAAGTTTCTATAATTTGGTTGGCCAAGAATGGCTAAGGAATCAATTAACAATTTATTTAAATGTATAGTATGTAAATTTATGGAGGTGGCACGTTACCTGCATGTTTCCTTGAAAATAGAAAGTTAAACGGTACTCCATGGTAGATTAGATGGAGATGCAAGTGAGTAAGGGCGCATGTTTAGAATATTTTTTGAGTCAAATGTTGCATACTGTGGCTTTAAAAGCATATCCAGTGCCTCTTGTTGTATCATTTAAACATATATATTCCTTGTTTTTTAGGATTATCTGAAGCAGGTCTTGGACATTGACCTTCATGCTCAGATCCACTTTGGACGTGTCTTTATGAAGCCAGGGTGAGACAAACATTATAGATTTTAGATTATAATTTTTCAGATTATAATAGAATATAATTTACTCTTTTTTTCCACCCATATCTTACTCAAATCCTTTCTTTTCCAGTCTTCCTACTACCTTTGCCACTTGCGACATTGACGGAGCTCGGAAACTCATCTTTGCTCTGCCAGGTACTTTAGGAATCTTTTGGTTTTCCTTGGAATGTTTGTAGAGGTCCTTCTGTCAAGTATAATCTGTTATTTTTTGGTAAACTACTATATTGACCAGAAAACCTGACCCTCCTCACCTCTAGCCATCAAGTACACTATGGTACTTTCCTCTGTAACCCCCAAAATTATTCACACAGTACAAATGTGTTCCATAGACGGACATTTTGAAATCTTGTGTTGTTTTGTTTTGTAGGAAACCCAGTGTCTGCTGTGGTCACTTGTAATCTCTTTGTTATTCCTGCTCTGAGGAAGATGCAGGGAATTCTGGATCCTAGACCTACAATTATTAAAGCTAGGGTATGTATCAATCAATCAAGAATAACTTAAGAAGAAATGGTAGTGTAACTTAACCTGGACTAGACATGACCAGGACAAAGCAAACCAGGAAGTGCGAATGCAGCCTGATAATGGATCATTTAAGTTTCTCTAAGTCAGAACCTTTTGCTGTGTGCTTTGTAGCTTTCTTGTGACGTGAAGCTGGACCCCAGACCAGAGTATCATCGCTGTATTCTCACCTGGCACCACCAGGAGCCACTGCCCTGGGCCCAAAGCACAGGTCTGTTCGGAGGGAAATAGAAAGCATTTTAAGGGAATGGTATTTTTAAAGAAGACAAATTGCCCTTGTGTCTGCTGTATAGCAATAATCTATGACACCTGTGGAAGTTATAATTTGCACATTTTAAATCACAATATTCATCTAAAACAACAACATAAAAGAAACAAGTCTGCTGACATTGCTGTAAATATTATCACAACAAAGAGTCGGCCCCTCCAATGGATATCCACAGATCACAGTAACGAGAAGCAGATTTTTTTATTTTTATTTTTTTCATTTGTACCAAAATTACTACAAGACACTTCCAAATCCTACCCATATTACCAATTAAAATTAAAATTGAAGAAGGAAGTAAGTACAGAGCAATGGGCCTGTACTAAGTTTACTGAAACATGCAAAAATCACTCCAAATACAACTTGGAGAGTGTGCGTCAGAAAGGGAAGCAGCTATGAGATGGTTTGATTTAATAGGTGCTGGGTGGGCTTAGGCTCATAAAGGCATAAATGTGGGACCTGTGGGTTGGACATTTGGTGTACTTAGGGCTGGGTGATATGGTGATAAATAGAATCGTGATCCTATTATGCTTTGATATCCTATTTTGGTCAAATCGCCAAAATAGAATCGTGATCCTATTATGCTTTGATATCCTATTTTGGTCAAATCGCCATATCGTAATCTGAAATTTTCCCTCTTTCTCAGGTAACCAGGTGTCTAGTCGGCTAATGTCGATGCGAAGCGCCAACGGTCTGCTCATGCTGCCCCCAAAGACGGAGCAGTACGTGGAGCTGCATAAGGGAGAGGTGGTGGACGTCATGGTCATTGGACGGCTATGATGCAGGTGACAATAGATACACTATTTAAAGGAGCATTGTGTAACTTTTTCTGTCTGTCATCTGCTTATTTCTATGGATTTGCCTGGAATGTTGCACAGTATGACATTAAACAGCTCTCTGCTTTACATTTATTAAATTTTGTGGGTTTTATAGCTGAAAAATACCTAGAGAAACAGACATTCTGACTGTGAGGGGGGTCTCCTCTCCACAGATCTGACCTGTAATTTGGTCTGGTTTGGTCTCCATGAAGACAGAAAGGTTTAAAGCCATACTGCGAAACATTCCAGGCAAAGCAATAACATCTCTACGGAGAAAAGCATTTAACACACCTCCCACCAGAAAGTTACACAATGAACCTTTAAAACAAAACAAAAACAATTACACAAAATATTTACCAATCACATTTCTCCTTAGATTTAAATGTCACTCGCTACCGATTACCATGGCAGTGCCAGGACTTCCTGTCTGGACAGGAAACGGGCGGGGACAGGAAGTGATGCATGTCTACCTGGTCGCCATTAGCTGTGATGTCATATGCAACAGCCAATCGGAGCCAGCGGAGGCTGAATCCTCTTTGGTCTGCTCTGAGGAGATCACTGTATTTCAATGGAGAAAATGTGAAAAAAATATAAAATATGAGATTTATTCTGTAATATTATTATTATCCTGATGAAAATTATTATGGTTATTAATATTCTTAATTAATATTCTATTTATTATTATTATCATGGTTCTGAATATTCCCATCTTAGTAGTAACATTACCTCTTCCTAATCATTTGCTTTGTGCGTCCCCCTTTCCCGGTATAGATATAGACATATAGACCCTCTTTCCTCTACTCCTGTTATGTTTCTCTTTCTTCTCCCTTTTACTTGACCTTGATTTCTGCCTTTGCGTCCTTGTATCCAGATAAAAAAGACTGTGGTTCCCCCTCCTCCCTGCACTATCGCCACATCCGTCCTGGGACACTCAAACCCTTGACATTTTTACCGATAATCTACTAAAGAATAAGGACTTTTCTGTATCGAAGCTGCTGAACGTGTGTGCCACAAGTGAGAAAATGACTATTGCCAAAATACACGGGGGAAACCGCGAGCGATCACAGTATGAAGACCTCTCATGACTCTCCAAGAAGCCATGGCCTGTCCGTGTTGGTTAGTGGTTTAGCTTTAACACAGTGAGGAGCTAGGAAGTAGGAAATAGGAGCTAGGAGGTAGGATGCATCACAGGTTTACAATCTTAAAACCTTCCTCAGTATATTCGCAGTCTCTCTCTGGTTTAAAACAAGTGTAATTCTTAACATGCAATTTAGTCTGTTCTAATTATTGAGTTTGAGTTTTTCCACTGCAAAAATTATGATCTACATGAGTTAAAATGACTTGAAATCAGAATATATTTTTACATTTTTTTCAGGAAATTTGCTTTTTTTTTTTTTTTATTAACTTTTTCCAGAAAGAGAGTAAAACCATTTCCACTAGCTTGAATAAAATCTATAATTTCTTACCCCATATACTATTGCTTTGAAGAAGGAAAAAAAAATCATAAGAAACCAGTCAGTTGGAATGTTCCGCAGTATGGCATTAACCCTACTGTATATATATTGCATTCATTCTCTTACAGGTTTATTAATTGCCAAAATCTGACCTGTAACTTCGCCACATGCTTGTCTAGATACGTTTAAAATAGATACATTTAATGCCATACTGTGGAATATTCTAAACAAAGCAAAGACAAACCCATGGAGACAAGCTGGTATCAGACTCTCCACCAAAAAAGTACATATTGCTGCTTTAATGACAATCCTTTTCTGTATATTGATTCTAGAATACAATAATTAAGGCAATAGAATCAAATCAAGTCCTTCTAACTCATGTATTTAAGTTTGCATAGTCAGGCTAGTTTTGGTAGCGCATCCCCCAAACCATGCATTATGGTGGTGTTTCATTTTTAGGAGTTTAAAGTTTACACGAAAGAAAACAAACAAAAAAAACACCATTCTCGACCAATTGAACTTCCTCTCCTGTGAAATACCACTCAGTACCATGAAGACTCCAGGAATCGTGTGGCCTGGTAATAAAGGGACACTGGTGCTGTCTGAACGCCCGTGCACTGCAAAAAATAATGTCTAGATCAGTTACAATGATTTGAATTCAGAATATTGATTTCAGTAGTTTTTGTATGTATTAGTTAGTTAGTGTTTTTGTAGACTTATTTCAAAATTTCCAAATATTTCTGACTGGTTTCAATATTAATTTGTGTGGGCTGTGTCACTTTTCTGTTGAAAGGTCTGCCACGTGATTGTTGTCACCATGGAGATGCAGTTGCTTTGCCTTGAATGTTCTACACTATGGAAATAAACTTGGTCATCATAATGGAGACAAGTTACTAGTCAGGTCTATGGAGAAGCAAGTCTGCCCATAGTAAGAATTCATGTTTTTCAAGGTATTTTTGAGCTATGAAACACCTGTTACTGAATACAAGCAAGGGAGAAACGTTCAGTGCCATAGTGTGGAACATTCTATGCAAAGAAATAACTCCATGGAGACAAACAAGTAGCCGACACTCCACCTTAAAAGTTACATAGTGCATCTTTAAAATATATATAGTGTAATTATCATAGTTGAAAGTTTGCTTCAATTAAAACTAAAGCCAGTCAAATAGTTTAGTCAAGGACAACTATTAGACTAGTTTTAATATATTTCTCGATATTTTTCATAATTATTTGTGTTTTCAAGTTTCTTAGAATAAAAAAAATTACATTTCTTGATCTTTTCATTGACAAACATTTACTGGAAATAGTCCAATAGTCAAAATCAATTAATTTAATCAAAGGCAAATAAGTTAATTAATCACACTTTTTTTTAAAAAAAGAAAATTCAACTTAACTCTGGCAAACTTTCTTATGTTATTGACTGAAAATCTTGCTGGAAATAGTACTAAAACCAGTCAGGAATATTTTGAAACAAGCAAACTTATCTAAAACAAGTTAAAACAACTTAAACAAGATAAATATTCTGAACTCAAGTCATTTGAACTCTTATAGATAATATTTTACAGTGTAGTACAAGCTGTGAATAAAGTAAAGTGAAGACTGGGAAATCTTGAGATGAAATTATTTGCACTACGGGACAGGAGTTAGTTTTCTGCCTCTTGTCTTTTGCGAAAAACAAACTTAGACTTTTGAAAATCGAAGCTCCCCTCTCGAGGTACATTTTGGGCCTTAACCACTCCTGTAGGGATGTCACGATTACGAATTTTTGTTTTAGTTAATTATCACTGTTAGAATCATTATTAAACAGAAATATTTTGATTTTATTACTCTCACTATATACTATAAACTTTAAATTATGCTGTTTAATAGATCAGGGGTTTCCATAATATATACATAAAGATGATTACAAGATATCATATAAAAAACTAACAAACGTTAAACCAGATTTTTTTTGTTTTTATTTTTGATTATTACAAGCGCTAAAAACATTTAAAACTTACTGAAATTGAGTAGTATTTCTTTTTGAACCCTTGTATTAATAGCTCTTCATACTCTACCTATTCATGGATTTCAAGTTATGGAAAATGTTCACTGTTGCCATAGCAATTAACAATTCAAAAGAAAATGTTAATATCTGTTCTTGAAAAGTCAAAAGTCCTCAAAATGGCGATGTAATGTAACTGAAACACTTGAATTAATGTAACCAACCTAACTCAAACTTTTTATTTTAGTTGGATCACGGAAAACTAATTGCCATATTATTATTATTATTTGAAATTAATGTGTTTTTTTTTTTTTTTTTTTTTTTGTTTTTTTTTTTTAGAATATTTACAAATTGGTGCTTTGAAAATTTAATAAAATCATTTGACTGTTCAATTATTATTATTATTTTTTATAGTGCATTATCTTGGCCTATAACTTTTTTTTTATTATGATTTTTTTTTTGCATAACTATTTACATGCAACAGCTCAACAAATAATTGATTATGAACTTTAATAAAAAATCTTTAATTATTGCTTTCGGTACAGCATTGAAAAGGAAGCTTTCGTCTTCAAAATATATCCAAACGAGACTAGATTAATTACTATTGATTAATTACGATTGATCTTAATTGCGGTATTGATCGTGGCATCCCTACTGTCAGTAATGTGAAGTGTACGTGGCTCTGTGCTGGTTTGTTTTGGTTTGTGCATGTACAAAAGTCCCCCTGCCCTCTTCACTCATGTCATGTTTGCTTACTTACAGCTGGTGGTGCTATTGTGGCAGTAGATGTAGCAATGCCAATACAAAGGCAGTGCAGAAGAAGAAAACTACTAAAAGACAACAAACGCGTGAACATTACTGCCACGTTTTAAACACGATTTCAACTGTACTTAACTTTTGTGTGTGTGTGTTTGAATGATACATCTTTTCACTTTGCCTCAGTTACACTATAAAGATGTAACCGTAATATAAAAACCATACCTTATATCCATTGCCATATAGTGGGGTGGCTCACTTGTGGTGTTGATACTTTGCGGCTGATCTCGTCCACGTTCTCTGGGGCTGTGATGCTAAACGGAGGCACTGCTCTGTCTGAAGCTCTGATACTCAAATTAGACTTCAACCTGAGCTTTGTTTTAATGCAGTTAAACAAGTTTCTCACACTTAAAATTACAGTTAAACCCTTACTAGAATTAACCAACAGTTTTTCAGTTAGTCACTCTCACTTTTTTGTTGAAAATCAAACACTTAAACAAGATCATGAATGCTGGTATTCATCTCAGACTCCTGAAAATGTACTGTTTAAATCCATTTTGTATCCATTTTGTTTTCAGACAGATCTTTAAACTTGGCAGTGTTTGCTGATGTGTGCGTCGTATCACCATGGCGACTGCTGAGAAGTCCTTCGTAGAGATAAACGTAGAACACCCCCAGCGTAATGTCACTTGGCTGCAAAGTGTCAACGGTAGATTTAACATTTATACTCAAAAAATGCCTTGTTTAGCCTATAGTTCATAACATAATTGTATTTTTATGTTTTATTATAACAAATGGTCTCTATGTAGTTCACTCTTTTTATGCCACTGCAACAAAACAATGCATACTATGGTCAGAGTAGTCTTGAAAATATCCAAACAGAAAATAGAATATAAGATTTATTTAGCATTGTACTGATATTTTACATTACATTACATCCGTTTCTCTATATACTTTACGTTTTGTGTTATTTTTTACACTAATATTCATATCTCCTCACGTCACTTGAACGCACGTTGCTTTCAGGTGCTAAAAATAATTGGTTACGGTGCTTACCATTGACAATATCAACCCAAACATGTTTTAATTTTATCGATTATAGTGCGTCGTCATAGCTACAACAAAAATACCAGACTTACTTACGAACTGTTTAGCTCACTGCAATAGTTATGGATATTATTTCTAGTGTTAATCAATGACAGTGATCAGAGAAGTGCACTGTTAAACTGTAATTTTCACATTTGTAATTGTTTACCAGTTAACTTAGACCATTCAAATGCGTCTGTACAAAAGGAAATCATATCTACAAGTTAAAATCGCTTGAATTCAGAATATTAACTTCAGCTTTCTCATTGCCACTGTAGTTTTATTACATGAATTTCTTGGCATGTACTGTAATTTCAGTTGGAACAAGAATAATGTATTGAAATAAGTGAAATTACATAGACAGGTTAGGTAAAAATGATTAATATTCTGAACCCATGTTATTTTAACTATGCATATATTTTTGTAGTGTTAATTTGTAATAGGCCATATCTCTTTCTAACTGGTGCGTTGTGCTAAAACTAACCCAAAAACTCAATTCAAACGAGCTTCATTCAAGTCTAAATACGTATATCTGTAAATGCCGATTAAATAAATAGTTTGTTTTCCTTTTAATTGAAAACCATATCCATATTATGTCCCTATATTTTATAAATCCTACTTTATTTTAATAACATTTGCATATATATTATAATTATAGACATATCTTCAAAGAAAATCCTTATAATTATCCTTTATGTAGTAATGATGACAATGGATTTAAAATGCGCAAGCTTTTCAGAGCAGTTTAGTGGTGGTTTGCTTGTAGCCACGGCTGCCTTGGGGCTAACTGACGAAAACGTGGCTGCCAATCTGCACCAACAGTCTCTCTCCGAAAATAATACAATCATTATGGGTGAATTGTGTGATCTAGTTTGACCTGGTATTGAACCATCAACCTTACGAAAACTGCTCCACCACCCGAGCCACTGTCCCTTATCATAATTATTTAAAAAAAATATTTATTCGTATTATTGAAATTCCCTATTTGTAAAAAAAAAAAAGAAGTTGCTTGTTTCATGTAAGTTTTGTTATCTTCACCGCCCCTTGAACAGCTTAATTCTGATTAGACCTTATGGCGCGTTTTTTTCCCGCTGACTTGAACGCAACTCTAGTCAGTATTATATTTAAAGTGATAGTCCTCTCCTTTTTACTGTCTTCCTCCACTCTTTCTCTCCTCCATCTCCTCCCTCCTTCTCCGCGCTTGCATGTCCACACAGGGAGGGGGCGTGCGTTCTTTTTTGGGCAGGTTTTAAAACTCCTATGCCAGAAAAAAGTGCGAAAAGAGGAAATTCTGAACCATCTGAGCTTTAAACTTTATAAAAAAAAAAAAAAACTGTTTTTAATCCAAGGGTCGTGGCACCAACACTGTCTTCTTATATGAATCGTTTGGAGCTCAGATTTCAGATTTTCTTCAGTTACCTCAAATGCACCACTCATCTAAAGCTTGTGCTGTGCTCATGTCGAGATGGTAGTGAAAAAAGTTAACAAAATGAACAGTTTTACTCAATTTAAAGGAGACGTGTTATGCTAAAAGTACTTTTTAGTGTTTTAACCAAGCTATAATGTTTTCACCACAAATTTATAGTAGTTTTTGTTTCATTTACGCATGTTTAATTCATAACATTTGTTGATTTAATGTTCCGAATGCTTGGTTTCATCACCTCACATACAATTGAAACCAGATAGTACTCCTCTACGTTTTTAAAGGCCATTCTTTTTCTCTGAAATCGTCTTTTCAAAGTAAGCTTGAGTAGACTTCTTATAGTGTCTCATGCTGCTAATTTATCATTTAAAAATATACAATTACCCACTGTTGCCAGTAAAGGGTGTCCGACGGATAATTCAGATTTATTTAAATGATGTTATTTTAAGTTTAAAAATATAAAATACAAAAACATAGGTCTCAAAAATATTAAAAAGTTTTAGTTTCATTTATGCATGCTTAATTTGTGGAGGTAATCTGAATATACATAAGTGCTTGGTTTTGTTTTCACCCTATGTAGAATTGAAACCAGATAGTGTGCTCCTGTTTTTTTTTTTTAAGTCCATACAGTTTCAATGAACACATTTTTTTTTATCATTCTTTCAAATTGAGCTTAAATACAGTTCTTATAGTGTCACTGACTGCACCCATGGTGGTCTTCTATCATTTCCTTTAAGAATGTTTGCATATCATTTAGTTATTTTAGTTTTTGCAGATGCAGATGTCTCAAAAGTATTACAAAAATTACAGAGATTTGTTTAACATTTTTGACCCCTCCACTTTATTGTGAATCACTTGTCAAATCAGAACTGTTGCATATCATTTAGTTATTTTACACTTAAAAAACATAATACATAGAAAGTTTTCAAGCATATTAAAATACAGTAAGAGCATAGCATGTCTCATTTAACGTGGAGTTAAAGTGACTAAATCATGTTTTATTTTGAATCATTGTCTGTCACGTTTGACAGTCATGAGCACAGCATTATAGCGCCCTCTGGCTCCTGCCCAAGGAAGAGCAGTGAAACCCGGATAGATCCATTTGAGTAAGAGAAGACGCAGGTTAATGATAAACTGCCTTTGTATTGAGTGATTCGTAACACTGGACTAAACAGTGTCACTGCACACATTTAAACTATGACCAGCACTTGTAATGAAGCAATGACACAGCATTCTACTACTGTATAAAAATCTATTGAAGAAGATGTTTTTCTGTAACAATATTATTGAAACTGAAGATGAATTAATAAAATTATCCTGATTATTCTGTACTTTTGTTTGTTATCTTTTTTATTTTTTTCTCCGAATTGTTAAACGTTCACTATGTAACGTTTCGGGTTAAAGGAATGCCACCTATTTAGAATGGCATTAAACACATCCATTTCTATGGAGACTAGTAGGTTACGCAGCCAAGTTACAGGTCAGATATGTGAAGAGGTGAGTGTGCAGTTAAAAACGCCTCCAATGGAACATGTGCTATTTAAGTTCATTCAGTACTACACTGTGGAATATTCCAGGCAAAGCAATTATGTTTCCTTAGAGACAAGCTGGTAATGGACTTTTCATCAGAAAGGTTGCATACTGCACCTTTACACTAAACAGTTGTTATTACAATATTGTCATGGGGATTTCTAAATATCCACACTGGGATATTTGTATAGCTAGATATACAAATAGATTTTTTTGTATAATTTTTTTTCTTAAACCAAGACTACTCTATTTCAAAATTCCTTATTGCCAATTTTATGATTTTGCAAGTTAATTTCTTATCCATTTTAAATGTATTTTTGTCTTATTTGTAATGCAGCATTTATTTGCCACACAAATAGGATAAATTGAGTCACAGACTAATGAAGGAGTGTTGAGTTACAGGTTCATTTCAGGTTCAGGTTACAACAATAAGACACACATACACTAAATACCATGTAGTATTTATTTATATGCTCTCATAAATGTTTATTATAGCATTATGCTCAGTTAAAACCGTTAGTATTTGTGTTATTGTGTGGTAATAATAAGCCCTTTCTTTCAGTTCATTATTAGACGGCTGTAGTAAGTCTATTGTGCGCTATTCACGTGCGGCATTCCGTCCATAAAGCAGCTGCTCTGATTGGCTGACCGCAGATTCCATTCCCCGCCTCAGCCAATCACAGCCGCCCCTCTGAGTCTGTGGCATTCTGTTCCCGCCCCCTTCGTCTGGAGTTGACAGAGAGCGAGAACCGAGCTACAAGTGTCCGCGCTGCTGCACCGAAACTGAGCTCAAAACTCTACATTTTACCCCTCTACCACCTTGGATTAAACCTGACATCTTTTATTTTTGTGAATCTAAAGGGATCCACAGTCAGCTTGGAGAAAAAGTAAGTCCTTTAACGTTTATAATCTGAACAGAAGTGGCTTTGTTATCAACAGGTGCTGCAGGAAGGAGCTAACGAGCTAGTTAGCCGCTAGTACTAGCCCGATAACGCCTCGCTAAAGTGACAAACGGTTTCGGAATAACTATTTTATTACAGATCCTATTATTTTCCCTTTAAATTAATATTGCTGACATATAAATATGTTCGCGTCATTTACAAAAGTGCTGAGTTGCATTTTTTTGTGCTGACCTGACCTGCATTTATAGTGAAACTAACGAAACAAACATCTTAACTTCCCTCAATGTCAGCCCGCGCTGTCAAAACTGGAATAAATAACGATTTTATGATAATTTATGATTATGTAGTTGTTAAAAAAATAATTGGACCGTTTTCACTGAGCGTTATTTTAACTGTATGTTGTAAGAAAACCGCGTCTGTTGGTTAAACGGTTAAATAAACAACCCAAATCTTGTGTAAATAAACAGATAAACCCATTTATTTTAGGACTTAAGTAATGGATAGGACTTAAATACACTACAAACGGCGTTCCTAGCTTTCATTAACAAATTTGACTAGTAGCCATCAGACAAATATTTGAAATTTCCAAAATATGTAAACAATGCAAGCTGATAACTATGTCAGAATGTAATACTATACAGTCATTTTATCTAGATTGAATAAATGCCAGGTCTAACAGGTTATTGTAATTTAGTACCGAATGAAGAAAAAAAAACTCTTGTAGACACATTCTTTTTAACATTTCATTCGTATTATTGACTTAGAATTACCTCATACTTCAGGCATTTCAAACTAGAGAACTCAAACTCACTAACTTGTTTTACCAGCTGTCTTTGAATAAAAACTAAACAAATCGCCACAAACTTAAAGTAACCTTGTATCTGCTACTATCAACCCAATGGTATGTATGCATGGTGTTCCTGATAAGATTGCCCTATATGGCCCCAGTCTTTTTTAGCCTTTTTCTTTGAGACATCACCGTAAACGCTCTTGCCTCAATAGTAGACAGTCGACTGGCATTTTACTCATCTGATTTATAGCTACTCTTGTTTTTTGGATTGACAACAAATACTTGGCAAAAATATAGTAATAAAAGTGATGTGACATGGCTGGCAGTGTGTATGGGAAAATCTATCAAAACAAGTCAGAGCAGATGCTGAAATAAGCAGGAGTTATCAGTCCTAGATTAGAGTTTTGTTTGTTCCACAGAAAGAAAGAATACTTGGCTGGTTGCTATGTAAAATGAGTGTGTTATGTAGTATTGTAGGTGCTTTCAGTACTGAAATGTGGTTTATTATGTGGTTTATAATGTCACAGTTGAGCTATTGTTCCTAGTAGTGTTGTCATGGTACAAAAATGTCAAACTCTAAATCAAAACTAAGGAATAGGCTTGATGGTTGAAAACACAGTAAAAACTCTCTTTATTTGGACAACAGAATGTGATTTTCAACATTAAATCTACTTTCTTTTCTATTCCCATGTGGCGTTACATCTGTGTAATCCCTCAATGGTCCAGGTAGGTTCTGTAATGGTCCGTGGGCGTATAATAGGGCGTATAATGTGATACAGCTCAAGATCATTCTAAAGCTTCAGGAAAGGTTCATTTCCGTCCTGTCAATGTGACTTTTTTTTTGTATCGATACCTGCTCAAAAATGAGTAGTTTCTGTAGTAGCTTTAGTATCAATTAGTATCTTATTCGATACTTGTTTTGACAACCCTAGTCAGTGGCATAGAGTAGTTTCAATATCATGGTTTAAACTTCATTATCATTATACTTCAGATATGTTGTCATAACCTAGTTGTTTGTCTGATTGAAAGACTTCACACTTTCAATTTTTTTTGTTTTTATTTTTTATCATTTTACATTTTTATTGTTATTTTTTTTTATTGAAATAGCCCAACATAAAGTAGAATACTCAAAAGCAAAGATTTAAACCCAAAACTCAGAACAGTTGAAGACAAATATGAACTTGGTCACTTTCTGTACTGAATGTGTCTTTTTGGAGGAATGTTGGATGGAAATGTAACACAAGCTGCAGTTTCAGAGGGAGGAGAGAGAGAGCCTCTTTTCGAAGCCGGTGGTCCGAGTCTGATATCAAACTATACCACCTCAGATTGTGCAGTGTGTGTTGCATCCACCACTGATTAGAGCTGTATTCGAATAAACACACATTTTATGCCTCATTAATCTACTAAAAAGGGGGTGTGGCACTGGTAAAAGCTCTCGAAGGTATCAAAACTTAGACTTAAAGGTATGTAACTTTTCTGGTGGAGGGTCCATCAAATGCTTTTCTCCATGGAGATGTTATTGCTTTGTCTGGAATGGTTCATAGTATAGCATTAAACCTTTCTGTCTTCATAGAGACCAAAGCACTCCAAATTACAGGTTAGATCTGTGGAGAGAGAGGCAACCCCCCTCACAGTCAGATTGCCGGTTTTTCTAGATATTTTTGAGTTATAAAACCACCTGTAATAGAATACATGTTAAGTAGAGCTGTTTAATGGCATACTGTGGAACATTCCAGGCAGAGCTGTGAAACAAGCAGGTGACGGGCCCTCCACCAGAAAAGTTACACAATGCACCTTTAATACTTACTCGAACACAGTAGCTCACACATCACAAAAGAGAAAAAAATTATACATTCTAAATAATTATAAAAAATAACAAGAGACTGGGGTCAAATAAGGCGTAGTTATATAAATGTATGTAGTTTATTTGCCATTTGTAGTTAAAAAATGCATTGGATGTGCAAAAAGTAGAGACAATACAGAAAAGTACCAGATGAAAAGGCAGATTCAACTGTCCAGTCACTCCCAAAACTCCAGTGAACTCACTCCCTGTTTCTCTTTTACAATGTGGCCCATAGAAATCCTTATAATCCTAATAAAAGAATAAGTCAACTAATAAAATCTTTGCTTGGCTAAGACGTCACCAACCGATTAATCGACCTGAACTATTAAAAGTGGACAGCCCTGATAAACATTTGTTCATCTGTTAATTGTTCCAGTACTGCAATTTTAATGAGTCAAGTTCTAATTGTGTTAGTAATGTATGTTATCTGGTTTTTTACTGTTTTATAAAAGTTGCAGGGATGGTACAAGATCTCATGCCCCAAGATCTTGTGAGACAAGATTGTTTGCACGTGAGAAAAATTATCTGGTGTGATTTTTTATTTTTTTTTCCAAGTGTTTACATTTGGATTGGACAAAAAAGCATTAAATATTAATGAGTTACATCTTTCACAGTTCCAAAACAAGTACTAGAACAGAAACAAAACTATGAAATTAAAGAAATACAAAATTGTGAGGCCAAAATTATAAACTGAAATGTATATATCAGGAATTATGTTAAAATCTTGTCTTGTCTCATTCTTGTGGATTATGTCTTGTCTCGTCTTGTGGAAATTATGAAATTGCAATTATAGTTTGTTTCCCTCAGACGGTATTTCATATTTTCCTGTTGTGTCATTGGGCAAGACACCTCGTTGTACTCTGATTGTGTTTATGTGACGGAAAAGCAACACTAAAAATAAATACTGGCGAAATTTTGCTCAGACTTTGGAGGAAAAACATTTGACCTTTTTTGTTCTGAATGGCACAGAGTAGAAAGTCTGTATTGTTCATGTTCAGGAAATGAATATTGAATTACATTTTTTATTTGTTTTAAAGGTGCACCGTGTAACTTTTTGGCTGGGGGTCTGTCATCTGTTGGTTCTATGGATATGTAACTGCTCTGTCAGGAATGTTCCACAGTATGACAACAGCCCTACCTTACATTTATTTAATTACAGGTGGTTTTATAGCTCAAAAATACCTAGAAAAACAGACATTCTGACTGAGCGGGATCACCTCTCCACAGATCTGACCTGTAACTTGGCCTGGTTTAGTTTCCATGTTGATAGAACCCTCCACCAGAAAAGTTGCACACCTTTAAGTCTAAGTTTTAATAATTGTGAGAGCTTTTACCAGTGCCACACCCCCTTATTTAATAGATTAATGACGCATAGGACTAGTGTTTATTTGAACACCGCTCTAATCAGTGGTGAATTCTTTTACTTGTGTAGAATTTTTGCTTGGAGACATTTCTAAATGTATTTTTTTTGTCTCTTTTAAAGCCTTGCGCTCTCGGTTCTCCTGGGACAGCAGTCATTGTGTCTGAGCTGCAGCTGACCACACGCGCCGTAAACAGGAAGCTCTTTCACTGATCCGACCTTTAGCTTTGGGCAGGAGCAGGTATGAGGTCATGTCTCTATGGTGACGGGGTCATCAGTGACTTCTGCCGTCTGATGAATGCACTCAGAAGAGAGAGGGAGAGGGAGAGATTAAAGAGGAAGGGGAGAAATGGAGATAAAGGGGGTGTAAAGAGGGGATGAAGAGACAGGGAGAGAGAGGGAGAGAGGTAGGGAGATGGCAGGGGAAGAAGAGTGTGAGGGAGAAAGACCAGGATGAAGGAGAGTACAGAGTAGGGAGAGAGAGATGGTTGGGAGGGCACGAAAAGAGAGACTGGGTTGGAGGAGAGTAAAGAAGCGAATGCGAGGTAGAGGGGCGGGTCAGAGAGAAGGGACAGGGTGATCGACAGATAGAAAAACGATACAGGAGGAGTGGAGGAGGAGAGAAAGTAAGAGAGGAAGAGAGTGACAGGGTACAGGGTGACAAAGAGAAGAAGAGTAGAGAGTAGAGCGAGAGAGGAAGAAAGGAGAAGTGTAAGGGAGAGAGAAAGAGTAACGGGTGGGGGAATGAAAGACGCAGAAAGAGAGAGGTAGAGGAAATATGGAAAAGAGGGACTTTTGAGAGAGAGTAATGATTGTTGACCGTTAGAGAAAGGGTGAGAGAGTGACCACATAATACAAGAGGCACGCTGGAGAGGAGAAAGAGGGGGAAAGGGAGGGAGAGGATGCGTAAGAGAGAGGGAATGAAGAAGAGAAAGTAAGGAGAGAGGAGAGTGACGGACGTTGAGAGAGGGAGAGTGGCGTTTTGGGCAGGGGCCAGACAAATACAGGCTTTCACTGTTCTCTGTGTCTTTCTCTCTCAGTCTCTCTGGGTCTGAGGCTTAATTCACTTTAATTTAAAACGAGCGACTGACAGGGAGAGAGGTGATGATATGAAGACGCTGAATGATGACACTGTGGCATAGTCCAAGTACAGTGACGTTTAGAATCAAATCGAAATCGCAATTTGAATGGTCACAATTTGCAAATCACAAAAAATATAAATAAACTCATCACTGTGAATAAATAGGATATGCAAAATGTAAAAGGTAAGTGAGGAACTATGGGCTGTTGTAAATGTAGCTACTTCTGTTTTTCAGGCGCCTCTGAAGCCGATTTTGAGGTTTTGCTGTGAGGGAAAAGCAGGCGCTGGATATAAAATGGTGAATCAGGTTGAGTTATTGCACCCAGGTGTTGGTGGACAGCTACTTGTGATGAATGAGGATTTCAAAGCCTAAAATAGTAGAAAACAGACACAGAGGGGCTTTCCTTTCAAAAGATTGGTATTTGAGCAGCATGTGGTTTATATATGCAGCGAGGAAGAGAAAATCTGTAATTTTCCTTCTCATTAGTTAAAGGTGCATTTTGTAACTTTCCTGTCAAATGCTTTTCTCCATAGAGACATTATTGCTTTGTATGGAATGTTTCACAGTATGGTATTAGTCCTTTCTATCCTCATGGAGACCAAACCAGGCCAAGTTACAGGTCAGATCTGTGGAGAGATGACCCCGCTCTCAGTCCCAATGCCTGTTTTTCTAGTTGTTGTTTTTTTTGAGCTATAAAACCAACTATAATTGAATAAATGTAAGGTAGAGCTGTTTAATGTCATACTGTGGAACATTCCAGGCACAGCAATGACATATTCATAGAAACAATTAGGTGACAAACCCCCAACCAAAAAGTTACATAGTGCACCTTTAAATATGACCAACAAATATAAAGTTACAGAGCCACAGAGATAAAATGGCTAAAACTGAAGCTGATTTGTTTACATTTGTTTACAGTGTTTGCCTGGAAGGTCCAGACTGATCTCTGTCGCGATGCAACCAAACACGATTGTCCAATGAGATTTGTTTATTTCAGCAGCTCGTGAATCGAAGTAGATCATTGGTCACCTGTCATTTAGAACAAAATTACATTTCCCTCACCTCAGATTAACAGTTTAGTGCTTCGCTCACTGATTCTGAAGAAATCTGCAATGTTTTTCAGTCCCCTGTGATTTTTTTTTCTCCCTTTCTTCATCTTTGTAAAGTATTGGAACAGAGTGCATTCTGGATCCCATGCAAGTTTCTAGTGAAGGTGTATGGAATTTAAAAACACAGTGGAGTACTTATTATGTATTACGACATGACATCACAAGGTGCAACAGAGTGTTTTCTGTTTAAGAGAACTACTCAGCCTAAATATGCAGAATTTGTATGTTTAACGTGTGAATGAAACAAAACACAACTCCAGGTCTGTTTGTGATGAGGAAACATTGTAACACAGATCTGAAAATAACATAATATGAGTCCTGTAAAGCAGCATTGTGTAACTTTTCTGGTGGAGGGTCTGTCACCTACTTTCTCTTTCTATTAATATGTCATTGCTCTGCCTGGAATGTTCCACAGTATGACATTAAACAGCTCTACCTTATATTTATTCATTTACAGGTGATTTTAATTGCTCAAAAATCCCTAGAAAAACAGGCATTCTGACTGTGAGCGGGGTCGCCTCTCCACAAATCTGACCTGCAACTTGGTCTGGTTTGGCCTCCATGACGATAGAAAGGTTTAATACCATACTGTAAAACCTTCCAGACAAAGTGATAACATGGAGAAAAGCATTTGACAGGCCCTCCACCAGAAAAGTTGCACAATGCACCTTTAAGAATGCTCAGATTTTCCCTCTTTGTGTGTATCTTGTGTCTCATTAGTCGCGGCCGGGTGCTAATCTCCTGTATACAGATTTCACAGTGCATTTGGGTCAGTGTGGTACAGAGTGGTACAGGGCGCGAGTGTGTGGACGTGATAAGAGACTCTGCTGTCTGCTCTCATTCAGACCTCACAGGACACACTGCCCAGACTTAAAGAAATCAGTAGAAAGACCTGTTATTGTTTAGTGTTTTGTCTTTGTCTGTTGCCCTGTTCCTGTGTCTCTGGAACACCTCAGTGTAGAATGATGGAGAAACACGAGGGGATGTGACGTCAAGCTGCAAAGCATTCTGGGAGGTGTGGCAACTGAGCGCAGTGGTTTAATTAGAAAAACTGATGACTTTTTTTTTTTGTCATCGTCTGTTTATATAAATGGACATAGCAAATGGCTCCTTCTGACCCTGGCTCCCACTGACTTACCTTGGAATACTGTCGCCCTTCTCTCTGTAACTGCTGCTACTGTGAGCTGTTAATGTTCGTATTAACCCGCTCTACATGATCCTGGTGTTTTTATTTTGCATGTTATCTGTTATGTCCATTATTTGAGTGGAGCTGAACACTATGGGTGACGTCACACTGGCTTAGTCCACTTTTTTATACAATAGGGCTGGGTATCATTAAGAAGATCTGATCCGATACATACCTTGATACATAGACCTCGATACGATACATTTTTTGATACAGTGCACTTTCGAGTCAGTGTGCCATATTTCAAATGGATTCGGTACAGTTCAGTGAAAAAAATGATAAATCAATGGTTGTGATACTAAAAGTCTACTAAGTCCACTAAGTCTGTGAGTTAATATGAAAAACACTCATTTTACTAATCAAAACAGTGAAAATGTCAACACAGTTGTAGCTCCTACAGAAAATAATTTATTAAAATATACCAAAAATTACTCTTGGGGATATATCGATATAGCAGCTCACGATATTGATACTGTATCATCAAATTAAATGATACGATACTTTGATATTTCAGTATTTTTGCACACCCCTATTATCATACAGTCTCTGATTTTGATTCATTTTTTCTCATGTTGTAGTGGAAATTTTAATATTTCTCACCAGATTCATATGTGTGTCACTGCATTGAGTTTTCCACATTTTGAGTCTAGGATGGCTCTCGCTGAAAGTGATTGGGGAACATCATGATGAATACTTGAATCTGATCAGTCAAAGCATCACAAGAGCAAAACAAGCTGAAATATTTTTTGTTACATCCAACTGAGAGAAGTACAGACGCTTTCCCTGTGCACAAAGCTCTTACCTTCTGCACACTTTTCACAAACAAAATAGTCTATATTTCGATAAAATAAGATGAAGTATGTCAGTCAGCGTCGCCATATTGGCTTTCCTCTCAAATCAGAAAAAAAAAGAATTATGATGCTGCTATTTCTCTTTCTGTTTAATGCAGCTGTAATAATGCTGCTCAAACACTCTTCACCACCCACCCAGTCCTTTTGGTCAGTCTGGCTCTGAGTGCGTGATCAGTGACTTCTTTTTCACTTCTTAATAGTGATTTAAAGCTACACAGTGTAAGGATCATAACTGTGCCTTGACAAAGCAAAGTTAAAACATAAAAACAAAACTGCGTTCTTCTCCGGTACACTGAGCTGGCATTGATCACATCTGTACGGGTGACGTTGGCTTCTTCCGAGTGCGCAAATGAAACTGTCAATTGACGAGAAGCAGAACCATCAGAGGAGAGATACCTGTGGGTCTGGAGAAGATCACGTCAGAGATTGGTCCATCCAGAAATACTGCAGTCCCAGAAGTGAAATGTGTAATGTAGTTTTTAATCATAGTAGCAGAGGTATTTGCCATGATGTTGCGTTAGAAGTTAGTGAGCAGATTCAAATACACCTCTGAACTCCCAGCAAAAAAATCACAACTCTACTCTCTCAGGGCTCCACAAAAATGCTGATTAAACCAATAGAAAGTTAGAAAATAATTTGGTGAATAAAAAACAAGCTGTGAAACATTTTTTTATATTATGTAAAGCAATGAAGTATTAACCATAAATGACCTGCAGTTGTATCACGTATTATTTTTAGTTTTAGTTTGTCGCTATTGGGTTGGATTTAAAAAACGATTCAAAATTGTGAAAAAAAAAAAGAATAAATAAAAGTCTACCTCTAACCGTAACCGTCGTGTACCTCGGACATCGTCATGGAGACCAACTGTTTGGATGGAAGCCTAAGTGGGCCATTGTCCTGGTCCTTTCCACATGATTAGTGTGTTTTAATGAGCACTCAGTTCAGAGAATGTGTCATGGGCCTTTACTGTTTATACATGATGAAGCCACAAGCGCCATTTCCCATGATTCTGT